GTCTGCTGAACAGTTCTACTATAAGCTGATGGTCGCTGAAGTCACCATCAGCTTGTAGTAGAACTGTAAATGCCAGGTCCGTATGGCATACTGAGCTGGCCAGCTGGAAGCACTTTTGTAGGTCCATATGCCATACGTCCTTGGCAGCGAAAGGGTTAAGGAAGAGCAGCAAAGAGAAGGGAAACAACCATGGATTACAGTAAGGTATCATGGAGTACAGTATTGGTTTATGTTAAAAAATCTGAGGGTTTAATGTCACTTTAATACTTGTATCATTCTCCTTATATCTTTTTTTTTCTCTTGTGCTGTTTTTTTTTCTTTCTATTTATTAATTCACTTTTATTGCCAAATATACTGAGCCAACTCCAAGGTTTTTCTTTAGTTGTGGACAGAGCAGGATAGGGTTAGAAGCGCTGTCAAGTTTGTATTGCCGTCTGTGTCTCCACTAGGAAGATTTAATTCTGGTCTCGGATTCACAACTGGATACAGAGTGTCACTGACAGGAAGGGGACACGAACAACGATAGAAGCCTGAAAAAGGTTCTTAGCCTTTACAATGTCTTCCAGAACTAGAAAGTTGTTGGCTGAGTCGGGCTTAAATTTTTTCTCCTGGATGAAAGAAGGAACAAATCAAATCAAATTGTATGCAAAGAATCTACCGTTCATCCCAAAATAATCATGAGCAATTGAGACTCTATGCACCGAGAATTACACCCATGCTGGTCGGATTTCTTTCTTTACACATAAGACCTGTAAATCCTGGTGATGTGTGAAGATATGACGACAGGTCAGTTGTGGCCGCCAGTCAGTTTATTCCCCATGTAGATACGCTCTGATTTGTTCATGTAAATGAGATGAAGATTTACATTCTGACCCTGCAGTGACTGTGATGATGTGTGCAACGATCTCAGCGCTTACCACAGACTCCAAGTCAAAGCCCACACTGCATAAATGAGAATCCTGATAATAACCCCAATATCCCCAATCTGATGACACTTGCAGAGTGACAGGGGGACAGTCCATCATGTTGGTTGCTGACATTGCTCCATCATTTTGCAAGGGTGACACATTACAGCAGAATCTTCAGCATCAATATTCGTTAACTTCTTGTTAACATTACCAGGGCTGGTGCTTAGATGTTAGCACTATAAACTAGCAGCACAGGGGTCCTGGGTTCAGGGTTTTCTACAACTCTTCATGTTCTCTCCATGTTTGTGTAGATGTACAACACTGTGGGAAATGTCAGAGAAATATAAATGTGTAGTAACAAATTGTGTAAATTTGTAGGATAAGGCCCGGTTCACACCTGGGCATTTTGTAGCGTGTTCCTACGCTCTGCAAAACGCTCAAACACCGAAATCCCATTATTTCCTATGGGTATGGTTCACACCTGGGCGTATTACAGGCCGTATGAACGCGCTACAAAACGTCCTACGCCCAAAGAAGTACAGAAGCTTCTTTGGGGCGTTTTTGTTGCGCGTTTCCATTGGGATACAGCCAAGTAGCCCTCGGAAACGTGCGTTTGTCGCGCGGTTTTTTTTAACCGCGAATAGCGGTAGACATACGCGCATATTCGATACGCCTAGGTGTGAACCCAGCCTAAGAGTGTAAGCTCCACTGGCGCAGAGACTGGTATAAATAGCTCAGTGTTCCTTGTACAGCACTGCTGAATATGTCAGAGCCACATAAAATTAGCATAATAATATTGTGTGTCTATGGTAGTGACATTAGATCTCTGGTGTAGACACTGATGAATGATACAATATTCTTTGTACAGCACCTCACACAAATCTTCCCCTACCTGGCACTTAACACAAATCATGTGTCCCGTCTTCTGTACATACTGTCCAGTGTCATACCCTCCGTACTTCTGTCCTGCAAATACTATGTACTGTCATACCCTTTGCACTCCTCTCCTGCACATACTGTCCACTGTCATACTACCCTCTCCACTCATCATCTGTAGATACTGCCCCATGTCATACCCTCCACAATCATTTCTTGTACATACTGTCTGCTGTCATACCCTCCGCACTCTCCTGCGCAAACTGCGTACTATTGCATCATGTATCTCCTCTCCTGCATATACTGCACACTGTCATACCCTTCACACTCCTCTCCTGCACATACTGTCATACCCTCTCCACTCCTCACCTGCACATACTACCCAATGTCCTACCCCCTGCACATACTGCACACTGTCATACCCTCTCCACTCCTCACCTGCACATACTACCCAATGTCCTACCCCCTGCACATACTGCACACTGTCATACCCTCTCCACTCCTCACCTGCACATACTGCCCCATGTCCTACCCCCTGCACATACTGCCCCATGTCATACCCTCTCCACTCCTCACCTGCACATACTGCCCTATGTCATACCTTCTGCACTCCTGTCCTGCACATACTACCTTCCTCCAGAGTCCTCTCCTTAACATCTTACCCGCTAAAAAATACTTCAACATTGTTCAATTCAAGATTGGACATAGGTTTTTCTAGTTGTCATACCCTCTCCACTCCTCACCTGCACATACTGCCCCATGTCCTACCCCCTGGACATACTGCACACTGTCATACCCTCTATACTCCTCACCTGCACATACTGCCCCATGTCCTACCCCCTGGACATACTGCACACTGTCATATCCTCTTCACTCCTCACCTGCACATACTGCCCCATGTCCTACCCCCTGCACATACTGCCCCATGTCATACCCTCTCCACTCCTCACCTGCACATACTGCCCTATGTCATACCTTCTGCACTCCTGTCCTGCACATACTACCTTCCTCCAGAGTCCTCTCCTTAACATCTTACCCGCTAAAAAATACTTCAACATTGTTCAATTCAAGATTGGACATAGGTTTTTCTAGTAAATGTATAATAGTGTGCGACTGAGGTGGGGATATTAGAGTGTAAGCTGTTCTGGTGCGGATGAGAATGGTTTAGTGTTCTCTGTGCAGTAAATGTCAGAGCAATATAAATATATAATAATGTGTGACTACGGAGAGATGTTAGAATGTAAGTTCCTTTGGTGAAGAGACTTATGTGAGGGGCACAATATACTCTTTACACCCCGTGGAATATGTCAGAGCTATATAAATGTATATTAATAATTATACTGTGTGTAACTTTGATGGAACATGCCCACACATCTGCTGAAAATTTCTAGCCAGCTGATGGTTTTCTGTGTTTAATGTTCATCTGTTCCTGTTGATGGTATCACATATACAGGACAATTATCATAAGTATGGATTCTATTCATATCATGCTGATAGCTTCCTATGTTTTTCTTCATTTATTTCACATCTGGGACTTGTTTAAAAATTAAGCAGTTTTCTTTTGAAAAGAAAAAAGAAGCCATTGTCTGCACTAATTTGTCAGTAATTATCTGTAATATCCTCTGACACTTTCATAATTGACTCTTTTCTCTCTTCTATGTCTTGTGGAAAATTCAATTACATGTGTTATCTCTTTGCCTATAAGAAGCCTATTAACGAGGCGACTTCTGCATCTGCAGCAATTACTTATTTAGGCATGTTAGAGATTCGGATATGAGTCTTTATGGCTGTATAATTACAGGGGTTACTGAGATCTCTGTGTGTTCTGATGCATTATATTTGGAGGAGTAGAATTTGACATACACTGTACATGATAGACTGGAAAGCAGATAAAGAAGAACTCCCTCTTGTGTTTCCTAATTCAACATCACTGCGGGCAGAACTCTGTTACTGATGAATTTTCAATGAACTGATTCAGCTTGAAACAGAGTGCAGCCGGATTGCTCCTTTACCATATGCTATGCGGTAGGCTTTAGGACTGATCCAGAACTAGTGGTGTCACCCTCGTCGCTGTGCAGTGTGGCAAGGGTGTATGAAGCCTGGTAGACATATCTGCACCACAGTGAAGACTTCTCTCATCTTTCTTCTGGACCACAGCCTGGGAACTCCAGCCAAAATGTAATTCCTGAAGTTTTAAACAGAATAGGGAAGAGTGAGATCTCTGTCAGACTATCATCATTGGCTATGTCTACATTAGAGAGATTTTCAGCCATATCAACAGACGTGGTGTTACCAGAATAAAGAAATACATAGTAATCCCTCCAAAAGGGACTATACAGCAATAATAACCCAGCAAAGGATCAAACCCTTTCCTGCTCAATCAAAACTGAGAAAAGCTTCGGGGGGAGGAAGTGTAGGAATGGGAAACACCATTGATTCTCATTCCAATAATAAATAAAGAGCTTAAGATTAAAAGGCTGTCATAAATAGGGAATAAAATCAATTTGTAAGGTGTTAGGTTTGAACTCTACTCTATTGTTTCTTGTCAGGCTTCTTATATATGGTGAGTACTGCAGCCATATTGAATATTCCCAGCAGACGTTGGACCAGGTTATCAGTGCGAGGGAAGATGTCAAGATCAAAATTGAGGTAAGCCATCATAAGGAATTGCCACTGTGTCTCCAAAAACACTTTGCCGCTAAACTGGTGACTTAGCACAACCCCAATACATTTAAGGAAAGCAACAGTATTGTCCTCAAAATAATATTTTTTTGTTTTGGGGTTCCCAGGCTTCAGACAGTGAGGCACATGTCCAGGAAATCATTCTAAAACCAGGACATGTGTGCTCTTGTTTCTTTCTCAGCATGTTGTAGCAGTTAGTTGTGGGGGGGGAGAACACAGGATCAGCAAACATAACACATTAATCTGGGTGTGGTTGATGTGCATTTCTCCCCCCTCCCTTCCTACTGTCAGAAACAACAGTGTCAATAGATTATATTCAGAGATCTAAACAGTTCCATCATTAGGAACTATTATTAAAGGAGTGTGAGAGCTTTCAGTTACTTTATTTAAAAGTGTTTCCAGTCCCATTTAATGTTATATTTGCTCTGAAGCAAAGTGCTGTGTTCTGTTACAACTGTTTTGGGAAGGAAGTTTACCAGAGATGCCTGCAGTGTTCTTGTGTAATTAATGAAGAGGAAGCCAAAAGTATCCAAGAAAATGCCTCTTCCCAGAAGCAGAGCGTTATCTCATTGACCTTCAGATCTGATTCACAACTGTTGCATAGATCTGGAAATGTTACTACGGTAATTTTCCTTTTCCTCTGATTGTGCCTCTTAATGAGTACACTGTATCTTATCAAGGAAATCTGATATATTTCTTCTTCCCTCTCTTGGAGGAATGTTCCATGAAGGTTCAGGATGGCAAGTTCAAGCTGCAGGATCTCATGGTGATCCCAATGCAGAGAGTACTCAAGTATCACCTCCTGCTCAAGGTGAGTTTCCTCTGATACCAATAGATGTGTGGAGGTGGTTGAGGAGCACCATGTGTGAATAAAAAGTCATGGAAACTTTTTATGACTTTGAATTTAGCCAACACTTTTCAGGGGATTAGGGCTCCTCAATCTTCTGGGATTTGGTAGTGTTAGATCTGTTGGTCGTGGGTACTCCAGTCTGTGTGAAAAAGTGTTTGCTCCCTAAACCTAATAACTAGTTGGGCCACCCTTAGCAGCAAGAACTGCAATCAAGCGTTTATATATATTCTTGGTGGAGAGAAGCCACCACTGAACAAACTGATTCAATGTGCAAACCAAAGTGTTTAGGGCCTTGAGGTGCAAGATAGATCTGTTCGACTTGTCTTTTTTTAGTTAGGGAAACTGGTTGGAATAAAGTACCCTGAAGAATTCCTAGTGGGGATCAGGGATAACCAAAACAAATCCGTACACAGCTTGGAACAAAGCCACAGAGCACTCAGGGGAAAAGCACAGATTTAAAGGGGAACTATGGGGTAAGTGTTTTTCCCCATAGTTCTCCTAAGGGTCACGGGAGGAAACAAACTATCGTCCTCCCGTGGCCCAAAGCTTAGTATACCTTGAGCTACAGCTCGCGGTATACTGAGACCGCCGCAGCCGTGACGGATCCCGACATTATCACCCAGATCCACACCAGCTGCGTGATTGACAGCGGGCTCTGGCTATCTAGAGGCAGAGACAGCTGCACCCGCCCCCCCGTCCGTTCCTCCAGTCAGCGCTGGAGGGGGGGAATCCCTGCAGGGAGCCGTGAGTGACACGGCTCTTTGCAGGAAGATGATCGAGAAGTGAGCGAGCGACGGTATGTGTTCTTTCACTTCCCGATCTATTGAGGCGACGTGTGACAGTTTCATTGTCACACGTCGGCTCGAACTATGAGGTTGAGTGAAAATCACTCACTTCATAGTTCTCCTTTAAAGCAAAAAGCCCACTGGGAGGGGTGATATAAAGCAGATAAAGGTAGAAAAGGTTGTGGAGCAAAAAAAAACAAATTCAGCAAACAAGCCTTCCCACCACCACCCCCCTGTGTGTCCGCCGGTGGGGGCAGACCTTTATGCTAATGAAGGCTTGTCAGTGGATTTTGAGCACTTGGCACTCCAGGGCTCCCAGGTTCTGGTTGGGGTTTTTTGGCTTGGTGTGAGAAACCTTGGAGGAGCCTTCTTGGGTACACCTGTGTGCACTAAAGAAAGATATGCCTCTTCTCAGTGAAAGCTTAGGCTTGTGGGCCTGGGGAAGGTGAGTATTCTTGCCTATTGCATTCTTAATGATCTCACCCAAAGAGTATCTGAAGAGTCTTTCTCCTAGGAAGGAAAGCTAGGCCTAAGATCTCCTGAAAGAGTAGATGGCCACACAGCATTTCTGCCAAATGATTGTACAAATTAATAAAGTAGTCACTTTGATAAGAGCTACCAAATGACCTGCATTCAGGGAAGCATCAAAATTATTCTTATCCACCTGTACACTCTGGTCTGTCAGTTCAGTTAGGTGGCAAGGAATGCTCTCAGCAACAAGTGCAGATGTCTAGAGCTGTCGGTAACTGCCTGACCCAAGCGATATCAAGCACTGGTCAGAGCAGGGACCCACCACAGAAAAAAAAAAATCAGTCTATAGATTCCAATTGTATCTCTATCGAATCCCTGAAGGAAGCAGAAATAACGGTTGCCTTGTTATATTGGAACTGTTATTTTAAAAGATTGCCTGGAAAGAGAGTAGAGGGTAGGAAACAGCTTCAGAATAATAAAAAAAAAAGTTTCCACTGTCTAGTCACATAATTGTTAATAATTAGTGAAGACTTTAGCATAATGTTTAGGTCTTGGGAAAGTTAGTATGTCAGTAACCATGAAATCCAAATTACACTGGTGCAATCCCCTGATATACACAAATTGCATGTGTATAGAAATAGATGTCATTAAAACCAAATTAATCGTCTAAACAACAGTCTATAAAGTGTAACGTGTCATGATAAATGTCCTTTAGAGATTAAATAATAAGTAATTTCAAAAAATCAATATGTCCATATGTGAAGTTAAAGTGCTCTGTGCTTCTCAGTGCTTCATGTTTATTAACAGAAAAGATCCGCACTCACCAGATCGCCTTTGTAAACTCGCTTAGGTTATATCCAATTGTTGGTCTGCCTCTCTACAATCCCTGTGGGAGACGTTCAGCAGCACCAAGCACAACCTCCTCCGGCTCTTTATAAATATAAAAACCCGCGACTTCTCCACTTCAGGTCTCCTCATAAAGGAGGTCCAGATAGTGACCAAAAATAGCTCAAAGGGAATAAATGGGGACATTCTTAGTGCAGTATGTCGAATAAAAAACTTTATCAAAAGGTTACAAATACTCACAAGAGTCAAAGATCAAATCGCATATAAACACAGCACTGATGTGCTTCTTCTATGTAAAGACTGGGGTCTCGTGTACGCGTTTCATCATAGGACTTTGTCGGGACGGCGTGCATGTTGAGTATCACTAACTGAGCCTTATGAAGGTAGAATCAGAGATCATCTTTAATTGATCATGAAGTTCCAATACAGACAAATACCAACAGCCCAACCATAGCAATTAAAAAGGGTCCTCCCATACAAGAGTCCCTCAGATGAAATCCAATGGAACTACAAATACCTGAACTGGTGCAGATTAAATGATAAATGATATAATATGATGAACCATAATAACATAAATATATAAAGCTTTGAGATTTCAATGTATACCATAAACGCACAATGCACAAATGCATATATAATACTGAACAGTAATACATGTGTATAACCTTGAAAATTCAATGTATGAGTGTACACCACATAAGCACACAATGCACAAATACATATATCCCCCATGGTAACATGTCTGAGCGATACACCTATGGACAATTTCATGGGCTCATGCAATTTTGAAGCTTGACATGTTTGATATCTATTTACATTACACAACTTTGGCTTTTATATATTGCCAAAAATAGGTATTATATAGTGTTTGTGTGCACTGAAAATAATATAGAATGAATTTTTACTCAAAATTTGGTTTTGATAAACACTATTGTGGGAGGGGCAGAGACGCAAACTGCTCCAGGGAAATTCATCATTATTGGAGACAAAATTACTGCAGGGAAAGTTCACCAATGTGCTAAGGACACGGAGACAAACTACTGCAGAGAAGTCTCACACCAGAAAGAGTTAGATATTTCATACACCTGAAATGTACTTTTTGCTGATAAAGCAGCTGATTCTCTTGTCATCTTTACACAGGAACTTCTCAGTCACTCATCGGACTGTCCAGAGAGACAAACACTGAAAGAGGCTCTGGAAGCCATGCAGGTAAAACACATCATCATAATCTCATTTCATAATTGTGTGTCATTGATGGTATCACAGGTATCATTGCTGAGAGACTCTCAAATCCACAATGTCAGCCATTTAAAGATTGTTTTGGAGTCAGTAATGCTGGGGGTGACTGAGCAGAATGGTTCCCCCCTACCCAGGCCAGTACAAGTAATACGTTATGCCAGTGGCCCTGAGTGGAAATACTCCCCTGTTCAGTCCTCACAGTAGAGCTGACCATACACATGTTTTTTTTCCCTTTCAAACTGGGGGCAAAAAAAAAAATAACAGATTCCCCTATCGATGCTAAACAGTGTGGATGGACCAGTCTCCTGCTGGGCTGTTGTATTCTGACAGCAACGGTTCATCGAGAACTGGCTGAAATATGCACAGAATATGGCCAGATTCGGTCCGACAGTCAATAACTGCTGCTGGGCTTTACATAGTTATCTGCTTCCTGTTCCCTGTTCAAACCTGCAAATTCAGCGCATAGCCCAACGTCATACATCACTGAATTCCTATGTGCTTTGATATGTCAATTGACCAATTGCAAAGACCTGCAAAACTGGGAAATGCGCTGTGTTCATGTGATAAAGAATACAAATTATTTGTGATAATGCTATGACACTTTATTAAAGTGAGTCTGAGTACTTATTTACAGTTCATGCCTTAATTCCCCTTTTTTAAGTGTATGTGTATGTAAATGATGCACCGATACTGGTTTACGGGGAGCCTTTGTGCATCCCTAGTGTGTGTGTGTGTGTGTGTGTGTGTGTGTAGGTATATAAAGTGAATGAATAATGCCTTCCCTCATGTAACCTAGGCAGTCTAGATCACATGGTCTCTATATACCTTGGGTGTTTTGGTTGTTTCACTTCATTAGAGACTGTGGAGACTAACCATATTATTACACAGAGCCTATTTGGTAGGCTTGCAGTGAGATAAGAGAATCCGCAAGGCAAAAGCAGGAAACAGACTGTATATGCAGCGTGGAGAGGGAATTGTTTAATATCGGACAGAACTTGTCTGGTAGACTTAGGCCCCATTCACACCTAGGCGTATTGTAATATGCGCGTCTGTCGCGCAACCGTCACGCGGTTTTTTTACCGCGATTCGCGGTAAAAAAGTTGCGCGACCGTCGCGCGATTCCAAAGGCTACTTGGCAGTATCCAAATGGAAAACGCCCTACAAAACGGCCCAAAGTAGTCCCGGGACCTTTTCAGGCGTGGGCCGTTTTGTAGTGCGTTCGGGACGGGCGGAAATACGGACAGGTGGGAACGAGACCATTGACTGTAATGCTATTTATATTTTGGACCGTTTTGTAGAGCGTTCGTGGAGCGTAGAACGCGCTACAAAACGGTCAGGTGTGAATGGGGCCTAACAATAAGATAAGAGATTTATCAAGGCACAAGCAGGAAGCAGTTTCTAAAAGCAACAAGCACATTTTGCTATCTCTATGTACATATGTCATTTCACACTCTACAAACAAGGTTTTTTTAAAAACATTAAAGTAAGGCTGGCCATACATTACACTTGATTCCTCCATCCATGCTAAACAACATGGCTGGAGGAATCCTTCCCCCGCCATGCTATTGTATTCTGACAGTGGCGAGTGTGCCGCTGTCGGAATACCTGTACACTGATTGCAGCTGATTGGCTGCAGTCACTGTTCAGCCGGGCAGTGTTCACCTGTTATTTAAACAATTCAAATTTTGTAGAACGTAGGGGTGTGCACAGGGCCACACTGTTCAAATTTTGGCCAAGTCGGAAAGACTTGCTTGAAATTCGCGCATAGTATGGCCAGTTTGTCAATCCATTATTCTCCTTTTCCATGCAATTTTCTGTCTGGTTTTAGCAGCTGGAGGATGCACAGAAGACATGGCAATGATGTAGTGGTTAGCGCTTTTGCCTTGTAGCACTCGGGATCCCTGGTTCAAATCTCGGCCAGGTCACTATCTACAAGGAGTTTGCATGTTCTCCCTGTGGTTGCGAGGGGTTCCTCCGGGCACTCCGATTTCCTCCCACACTCCAAAGACATGCTGGGATGGCCAAACTCCGGCCCTCCAGCTGTGGTGAAACTACAAATCCCATGAAGCATTCTCTCCGGGAGTCATGTCTGTGGCTGTGAGAATCTTGCAAAGCCTCATGCAGCAGGGCTGCAGTTTGGCTATCCCTGGTGTAAAGCACTGCGTAAATTGTCGGCGCTTTATATCAATACCAATAATAATTTAAAAAAATTAATATGCACTAAAGAGGTCATGTGATCGCTCATAATCTGCCATGCTGGATTCTGGCAGCTCAAAGAGCCGGGATGTACTTTTACCAAAGAGGGGTGTCGGAGGTTTAACCCTTCAAGCTGGCAGCAAAGTCTGCCGACACAGACGTCACCTAAAATATGAAACAAAACTTGCTTTATTAAACTCAGCACTCAGTATAAAAACTTTATCTAACAAGGATAACGTGGAATTTGTACTGTATCTCTGTCAGTTGGGATCTTGCTAAGTTTGTATTATCTGCAGTGCTGGAAGATTTAGATTCAGTACATTCCTGAGCAGCGGGATGTATCAGCCAAGAGAGAGGCACTAGCCAAGACCTTCCACTGTCCCTTTCCAAATCTATAATACAAGGAGTGCTGAGAAGCATTTTGTTATCAGTCTTGTTGTGTTTTGCAAGTTTTGATTTTCATCTTCATTAATTTTTTTTTTTTTTAGGATCTAGCCCTGTACATTAATGAAGTAAAAAGGGACAAAGAGACCCTGAAGAAGATTAGCGAGTTTCAGAATTCCATAGAAAACTTGGTGAGTCTTTGTACATGAAGTGACTGTTGGAGCCATTGGTCTCTCTCCCTGTGGTGCCTGGAAGGACTGTACTCCCCTCAATACCTGAATATAAATGCTCATTGAAGTAATCATTTCGAATGGGCAGTGTTTAATAAACCCGGACTGTAGCATCTGGCTGGGTGGTTTGGTACTATCCCATTCATTTTCATAGCTTACCCGGTGGGTCCCCTTCTGTCTCACAGCCACCTCGAACACTAGAAGCTGGATGCTCAGTACACACATCTGCATTCATTGAGCTTCTTATGGTGCACAAATGTTTTCACATCCGATTTTGTTTTGGTGTGACAGACTCATTCATTTATTTATTTTTGTTCCAACAGCAAGTAAAATTGGAAGAGTTTGGAAGACCAAAGATAGATGGAGAACTTAAAGTCCGATCAATGGTCAACCAAGCGAAGCAGGACAGGTGAGGTCAGATGGTTGTGGAAGGGGGCCCAAATAGAAGCCAGAGAGGACAAGCTCTAGCAGTTTCTGGATTTTTATATATTTTGGGAGTCCCTTGCTGGTATTATAGGAATGATGCTATGACGCTCTAAGTGCTTTATTACAATTGTGATGCGAAAACTCAGCGACTGATGGGTGAGAGGGGGATGTACTTACGGGAGGACAACATTTGAGTGTGGGCTTCACTAGTATGTTTCCAATAACAGGCTGGAGGATGCTGGTTGTGTGTGGAGCCTGCAGAACTGCAGTGTGTAAAAATGTTGTCCCCCTCCAGGCAGCACAGCGGTGCTGGAGGATCAAATGAGCATTACTTTTTAAGTCTTTTGGCTGGTAAAATGGTGTGTTTCATCTTTATTTGTAGCTGTTTTGCAGGATTTGCCTTTGAACTGCTGCCTATCCTTTGCTGTCTTCTCTCCCCATCAGATATCTGTTCCTGTTTGATAAAGTCGTCATTGTGTGTAAGCGAAAAGGGGACAACTATGAGCTGAAGGAAATCATTGAACTGCTGTCACATAAAATGACAGACGACCCCATGAACAACAAAGACATGAGGAAGGTAATTCATCTGGGTGAGCTTTTAATCCGCTCTGCATCATCACATTTGCAGATGAGAGGCTGGCAGAGCATTTTAGTTTCTCTAAAGTCCTTATGGCTGAATAATAGAACTTATCACTGCTCCTTACCTTAACAAATCACCCAGGGGTGGCACAGTAGGTATCATTTAGTGCTTCCTGGATCGCTTTGAAAGAAAGCTATGGCTCAACCTTTTTGTGCCATAGTCCTCTTTAGTGTCACAGGAGGACATATACTAATGTCCTCCTGTGACCCAAAACTCGGCATATAGCAGGCTATTGGCCACTATATGCTGACAGCGCAGAGACGCACTGCAGCCAGGAAGGATCCACCCCACTACCGGCTCGACAGCTGGCTCTGCCTCTCTGTTGCTGACCTACATTTGCTGTGATACCGTACAGGCCCATTCAGGCATGTGTCTTTTTGTTCTAGTACAAATTTTAAATGTGCATTTTATGTGTTTTAGCATTGTGTAAAGTAGAGAGACAATAGGAGATTTTCCTCAATGCAGATGTTCTAAAATGCACAGAAAAGAAGGCTTTATAGAGATTGTACTTTAATCGTACAGTATAGAAAACACTACTTAGTCCCAGTCATGGGTTATATGCTACCAGCTTCATGTGATTGGACACTGGCAAACAAAGTTGTTTACGGTTCCCAAGGCAAGGGGAGACATTCACTCAGTCTTGGATCTAATGACTCTCAAATTCTTTTGGGTGCAGAAATTGCATGCAGGGAACCTGGCCTTAATAGACTTCAAGGATGCTTACCACGTATTCACCTTTTCATCTGCATCAATGCTTTTTACATTTTTTGGTTTTGCTGTGGGTGAACATCATTTTCAGTTTGTTGGTCTTCCTTTTGGCTTGTCCACAACACCTCGGGTCTTCATCAAGGTATTGGCTCCTGTTCTTGCTTTGCTACAATCTAAAGACATTCACATTGTGGGATATCTGGACAACCTCATGACTGCTCTTCATAGCTTCGGATGGAACATTAATTTCTCGATATTTGCGTTGAATCCGTCTCGTCAACTGGAGTATCTGGGCCTAGTCTTAGACACGGTGCTAACCTGAGTATTTCTACTTTAGGAGAAGCTTATGTCTCCAATTGCTCGCTTGGAACCTTTGGTCCAAGAAGCAGCCCTCAATTCACTTTTGCATTAGGGTCCTGGGTCTGACAATGGCCTCCTTTTGAGGCAGCCCCATCACTCCAGGCCACTACAACTCAGCATTTTGGCAGCTTGTGTCGAGCAGATCATTTGGATCATCCTATGTGTCTGACTAGCAAAGCCATACCTTGATGTAATGGATTTGAAACTCTACACTGGAGTCTGGGAAATCCTGGATTGAGGGAGTCCTGGATACTTTAACAGTCCAGGAGACTTGTCGTCGAGGGAACCTTGTCCTTCACATCAGCATTCTGTAACTCCGGGTAATTCTGCTGTCCCTCTAACACTGAATCACTCAATTGTTGGATTACCCAATTCATTCAGACAATGCCACAGCAGTAGTTTACATAAATCATCAGGGAGGCACCAGAAGTTGCGCAACTTAAAAGTAAGCAGACCTGATTCTCACCTCGGCAGAACTTCACATTCCAGCCCTGTCAGCCTTTGAGGCGTGGAAATTTGGCAGACGTACTTTCTCGGTCATCAACGTCTGGATTCCATAGAATGGTCCCTCCACCCTAAGGTATTTAAAGACCTATGTCATAGGTGGGGAATGCTGGACGTGGACCTTCTGGCATCCAGATTCAACTACAAACTGGACTGATTTGTTGGCAGGACCAGGGATCCTCAAGCTCTTGCAGTGGATGCCCCGGTGACTAAGCAAGACCAGTTCAACTTGATCTATGCCTTTCCCCCTTAAGGTAAAGGGCATTCAAGTTATTCTCATCTCGCTGGACTGGCCCAGGAAGACATGGTACTTCAACATCTTTAAAGGAAGGACAGGAAGTTTCATCCAAGGAAGTACTCCTTGGGGCATATCCTGTCTTTTCTCCATTTAGGTCTGAATGAAAGTTTAGCCTTGAGCACCATCAAGGGGCAAATCTCGGCCTTGGGTAGCCTCTTCCAGAGGCCACTTGCCTCTCAGCCTTTTGTGCGAGGTGTTGCTCACATAGCTCCACAGATATGCTCTCCTGTGACACCGTGGGATCTCAGCCTTGTTCTGTTGGCCTCTCAGAGGTCCCTTTTTAGCCCATCAGATATATTCCCTTAGCTTATCTATTTGGCAAGGTTGCCTTCCTTGTTTTCATCAGATCATTGAGTCTCCAGGTTATCGGAGATCTTATTAGTGGTTTTTTGTTTGTTCTGTAGGAACCCTTCCTGCCGCTTTCCACCTTAACCAGGACTTTGTCCTTCCTTTCATTTGTCCTGCTACAAAACACCCTAAGGAAATTGCTCTCCCGTTTGGATCTGCTACGTGATGTGCGAGTCTACCTCTCGGCTGCAACTTTTTTGTCTATTAGATTCCCTCTTTATCCAGGGTTCCCACAGGGTCCTCCTGTCTCTTGTTCCACCATTGCTAGGTGGATTAGACAAGTAATCTCCAAAGCATATTGTTTGGAGAATAGGGTTCCCCCTTTCCCGTTAAGGCGCACTTTATCCAGGTCTGTTATTGTTTCCTGGGCCTTTTAGCATCAGGCATCTGTTTCCCAGATTTACAAGGCTGCCCCCGTCTTCTGTTCACACATTTGCTAAGTTTTACCAGGTGAACATTCAGGCCCCTTCTGATGCCAATTTTCACCTGCAAAGTGCTATGAGTATTAGGGTTGTGCCCCTAATTCTATGGTCCTGGTAATATTTGTTGCGATGTAGCCCACCCCTCTGTTATATTGAGTGTGTATGTCCTATGGTTAGGACTACATGTCCTGCATCCTGTACTGTACAATTAAGATTGCCTGTTAATTTCTTAGAGTACAATATAGAATACAGGTCCTTACCCCGTTTTAAATGTTTCACGACTTATTGCTTGCTAAACAAAATTGAGGTTTAGTGGGAGGGGTTATATGGGCAGTCCTAACAACTTTGTTTCCCAATGTCCAGTCACTTGAAGGTGGCAGCATATAACCTATGGGTGAGACCAAGTCCTGTACTATACTCCAAGATGATAAGGAATTTACAGACAAGTCAAAATTCCTGTTTTTTTCCCACCAAAAACATACTATGCTGCAGCTGTGCTGAAATTATTCTTGCTTATACGCATTTAGCGCAGAGACCTAGGAAAATGTTCAGCATTCACCCTGTGCCATCTGCATGATGTAGTAGAGGGGGCATACACAGGCATAGCACTTTTCCTGGTAGCAGGGACTGATCTGCACATTAGTTTCTGCCCCATCCCAAGGACAGTAACCGCTTCAACTTAATGTCAGTCAGTGGTGCCATATTCTAAACCAGTATAAATCTTTTGAATGAAATTGGCCATCTTTCAGGCCTGTCCCTGTGTTTATATACAATGTTAATGCTTCTTTCTTTCTGGTCTCTTTATGCGTCCGCAAGTTACATGGCAAGATGGTAAGATAGTGTCAATGCTTTCTGTGGATTAAACACCAAATTATCTTGATTAGTTAATAGCAGTGGATTCTGGTCCATATTCACCGTTCCTAAAATGAACATTACATGTATTTATTGCCTCTCACAGAGATCACAGTTCCCTCTGGTGATGCTTTGTTTACTCCTGAGGATGGCATCATCTTTGTTCAGGCATCATCTAGGGTCAGAATATACTTGCTGGGCTAGGATATTGGCTCAGAGATACAAGTAGAAAGATGGACATCGGCACTCCAAGGCAAGTCAAGTACGTCTATTTATTCACGTACATGTTGCATAGTCTAACACCAAGTACAACGTTTCTGGGTCTCACAGGATCCCCTTCGTCGGGCATCCTGTGAGACCCCGAAACGTTGTACTTAATGTTTGACTATGCAACATGTACGTGAATAGACGTTCTTGCCTTAGAGTGCCGGTGTCCATCTTTCTACTTGTATACTTTAATGGGAGCTACCCGTTGACATCCGTTGCACCCACCTCTTATCTGATGGAACAGGGGTTCTCAGTGCGATGCGTATATGAACTGTATCGTGATTCTGGCTCAGAGATGACACAGTTATGTAAATCCCAGTGTCTGTGCAGTTCTTGGGTAACTTTACAAACATTTGATTCGCCTGTCAGTGCTGCTGCTCTCCTTTTGACTTGCTGTGAAGTTACAATGTACATTCTGACCGACGACAGAGGAAATGTTTCATCCTGTTCGCAGCACACTGATGGTCACATATGTAAAGTTACTGGACTGGTGCTCAAGGACTTCTTTATGATGATAAAAAAATAAAAAATAATACCATCGCTGTTGTTTGCACTAATACATTCCTGATTTGTCTCGCACGCGCACGCACGCACACACACACAACTTTACCATAGTTGCTTTGTGTTTCATGTCTTTGGAGAGGTTTATGTAGATGTCAGCCCATCTCTGCTTTCTCACCCTCCCTGCAGTGGTCATACGGCTTCTTCTTGGTACACCTACAAGGGAAGCAGGGCTTCCAGTTCTTCTGCAAGACGGATGACATGAAGAGGAAGTGGATGGAGCAGTTCGAAATGGCAATGTATGACATTATGTGATTTGCCTCCACAACTCAGTCTCGGTCTGTTTATCTCCGTGCATTAGACACCAGGGGATTAGCCATCCTCGGTACATAAGCAGGTTCTGCTTTCTTCATTGTAATTCCACACAGTGACTGATCTTTACTGCTTCTCTTACTTAGTGTTAGTGTTAGTCTAAGTCTAGTCTAGTGTTAGTCTAAGGTCCGGGCCCTGTTGGTAGACCAAAGTACACCATACACTTGGTATTTTTTTGAACGCTCCGTTCCTCCATCCACACTAAACATGTGGATGGAGGAATCTTCCCTGCTGGCTATTGTATTCTGTCAGCTGACACCCGCAGCTGATTGGCTGAAGTCACTGTTTGGACAAACATTTACAGACTGGCTCCTTTGACAAAAGTTTACTGAAAAATCCACTTTTATCAAACAGAGTGGTGCCAAAAGGGACCCATACAGCTTGAAATTTGGCTAAATCAACAGGACAGGGCAGAAATGCGAGCAGTGCATGGCTAGCTTTGAGGTCTGTGTTGACGAGTTTTTGCATTCGCATACAAGTCTATAGGAATACAAAAGCGTGCTTGAAGCAGGTTAAATGCGGGTCAGAAGGTCAACTGTAGGCTAAATGCACCTGGCAATACATTCTGGAGGATCTCAGAAGTACCTTAAACAGGTCCAAAGCCTATTGACACCGCGACAGCTGTGTGCTCTCCTGGTGCCTTACCCTGTGCAGCAGGCAGTGGTACATACCTGATAACATCATAAAACATCAGACAAGCCAACATCTTCTCTCATCATATTTTTGATATGTTTTATCATATTCTCTGATGCTGATACAGTCCAGACTGTCATAAAGATGAACTTAGATATGAAATCTTTTGATATAACAATGTGATAGGACCCATAGCTGGCAGCAGCCAATCGGCTTCCATGCCTTTATATGAGATCAGCCAGTCATATCCTCCTATACAAGATACAATGTACCTGGGTCATGTCAGCAGGTCTTTCCTTATTTAAAGTGGACCATTTGAACAGGAGGCAGCAGCCATATAGTAAAACACAGACTGGCACTGGGAGCTATCCTCATCCTGGTGCCACAACCAAGCCTTTGTTTCTTCTAATTTGATCAGCTGACTCCGTTGCCTGGTCTGCCATTTTTGTGTTTTTTAGGTCAAACATCAAGCCAGAGAAAGCCAATGCAAACCATCACAGCTTCCAGATGTTCACCTTTGACAAGACAAGCAGCTGTAAGGCCTGTAAAATGTTTCTGAGGTGGGTTGCGCAGTCAGCATTGTAGCCTGTGATAATTGAGGGTTCACTGATTTGTAATTTCATGCAGAATGGACAAAGCGTTTTCTATTTGGGAGAATCAAAAAATTGTGATTTGTGGATTTAACTGGTTTGCAAGAACAATTTGCTTGCTGCTAGTTCCATTGCATGTCAAATGCACTTTGTAAAATCTGACGTACTTTTGTTTCTCTGACAGGGGCACGTTCTACCAGGGCTACTACTGCTCTAAGTGTGGGGTCGGTGTACACAAAGAGTGCCTTGAGACAATCCATCCGTGTAAAATGGGTGAGTCTCAGTATATGGTATCCCTATAAGTCTACATATGTACTAAGCTGCCACACACCAGCTGAAAGGCTTTCAGTGGGAGGGGGTTACTGTGTAAGCTGATTAGTGAGCAAAGAAGGAACTCTGGTGTGTTAAAGGAGGGAGAGAGCCCAGAGGAAGCTTGCCCAAAGGCTAATGTGTGGAGCATGTTATGAATATGACTTTACAGTTCCTGGATGTGTGATTCATCTGTAGCTTTAGTTATGTGGAGCTCACCTTTAAGCCTTTCTTCTAGTTACTTACTATGGTCATATTGGAGCGGTTTCTGCTGTCAGTACGCCTTCTTTCTGGGGAAATAAAATATATTGCTGGGGTTATGTAATTGAAAGCGCTCAGAAAAGTGGCAGAGACATGTCAGCCTGGAGGATTCTGGGATGTAAAGACATAGGTTCTAACAACTTTGCAATAATCCTTTTGTGTTCTCTCCCCACTCAGGTTCCAGTGATGACATGGTAAGATATCATCCTGTAAGTCACTTCACATCTATATACAGTAAGAACATTCTGACCTACCTGCACCCTATAGATGGTGAGGAACTATAAGTCCCAGTGTGCCCCACCCAATGAGTGAATGCTGGCACTAAGTTCTTCAGTATCTTTAATTATCTTTGTGCCTTCGCCAGGCTAAGATTTCCTTTGGGACCATGTTTAATGTTACACTTACCTGAATTGCAGAGCTCTTCTCCCCGCAGGCTGCTGCTCTTTTTTGAATTTGGCGCAGCTGTTTGTGGCTTTGGCTACAAAGTCATGTCATTTATTCACAGATCATTTGACAGGATCTGTGAATGGCAAAACTTCCCATCAGCCACAGCGGCAGAGGGGTTTGTAGTTCTTATTTCTTTCTCCAGTCCATGTTACTAAATGTCTGTACCTCGGGATGGGATGAAGAATCTGCAGGAGCCAGACCATAGCACCCATGATCCACTGATCGCAGTTGCAATCCTTAACTGGCTCCAATGCAAAAAAAATAAATCGATGCCCATTTTTCTTTTATGAAGACGTGTGCATTTATTATTTATTTTGTACCTTTTAAAGACTGTGAGGTTGGCCGAATATGTAACGGAGAAGTCCCTGTGATTGAGTCTGTATCTGTCTTGGTGTGTTGAGATGAACAAGGTTCTCCTTATAACACTAATAATTGCCCAGTGATAGTCTCCGGGTTTCTGTCCCGTGTTGAGTACACCGTGGTTCGGTGACTTCAGTGCGCTCAGCACTCGCTGGTATATCAACTGTGTTACTTCTAATCAGATAATGAAATGTCTTTGGAAGAAGGTAATCAGACATTGTTGTATGTTGTCACATAGGCTTCGCCCATTTTCTCTCCAAATGCCCCAGCGGCAGATCAGGTGGGTAGATGGGAGTTGTTAAGATAATCCATTCATAGCTTCCATGATTGAGTTTCTAACTTGACCAATCAATCCTGTTCTTTGTCTTCTCTGGGCATTTTGTGGGCTCCTTAATCTTTTTTCTTAATGACTGGACACTCCTAATTATTGTTCTTATTGGGGCTGGAAATCTTCAACTTTATTTTGAACTACAATTCCCAGGATGCTCAGTCAGCCAAAAAGGGGGGTCTTCGTTTACAGCTCTCTCATGCCTTTTTGTAGGTAAAAGATAAAGATTCCAGCTTTGGCAGCATTTGGGTTTTCATGTTGTCACTCACCCCAGTTTAAATCCCCTGCTGTTTGTCTTTCTTCAGCTTGAGGTTGGCACATTACACAATTCAGAAACCTGCTTCACAAACACTGCTGCTAGATAACATAAACTGCAAATGTACCACCTAAGTAGTGTTTGAGAACATTGCCCTTTATATCACCAGATGAATCCTCACCCTTGCAGTTGGCACAGTCTTAAGAAGCAGTCATTACACAAGGCAGGTTATTATTAGTCAGTCTGTAGTGTTCTCTGCTCCGTTTCATAATTCACACAGAATTCCGTGAACTTCAGTAGCACAGATGATGGAGCATCATGGGAAGTGTAGTCAAGCAGTGATTGGAGCTGTCACACCTTTAATAATACAGAATAGAAAGGTGGATTTGGCTAAAGTTTAAGGTTTCTCATTTTGTAAACAGACTTTAACATCCTAATTTTGTTTGTCTCTCCTCATAGGATCCTGTAATCGCGCTATCTGGTGAGTCCACAGTTCTGTCCACATTTAAATGACCATTAATTGTTTTTTCCTGCTGTTTTGAAGTGAAACAATGCTAGGCAATTTAGAAGGGCCACCTAGTTCACCTACAGGCCTTCTCCATTGAGGAATGTTTTGTTTGCCAGCCCGGGAGCTGGCAATATACCTCTGTGCATGAAAAAATACATCCTACACTTTAAAAAACTTTTTTTTTATTGTCAGGACCCAAAATGGTGGCCACCCAGAACTACTATGGAAACCCCGCCCCTCCGGGGAAGCCAGTGTTAACATTTCAGACTGGAGAGGTGATTGAGCTGCTGAGGGGTGACCCAGATTCCTCGTGGTGGGAGGTAGGTGCACGTTTACTTAGGAGTAAATCTGCTATTGGTAGAGCTGGCAACTGAAAGGTGTCTGTCTTGTCCTCACAGGGGCGCTTACTACTGACTAAAAAATCGGGCTATTTTCCCAGCTCTTCGGTTAAACCATGTCCTGTTGGGGTAAGTGTCATAATACGGTTGCTTCACCCACTGTAATCACAAGCAGCTCAATGTTCTGAGGTCCAAATCTTTTTTTGTGTAATTAAGTGCCTATCATACACCTTCTGTATCAAAATTGTATTCATCTGCACATTCGGCTGCTTTCCTGAGTCTGCTATGAGCTGTACCATGCATGACTAGTTGTGACAGTCAGGTTCTTGTGGATGTTTTCAAGGCTAGTTATTACTTAAATTATTATTAAAACCAGTAGCAACTGAATGCAGAGGCAACTATTTATGATAATAAAGAGTAGATGCATAGTCCTATACAACCGGCCCTTTGAGGGTAACCATACTGCTGATGCGGCCCCCGATAAATTTGAGTTTGCCACCCCTGGGCTAGGGTGACCCAAGCCACTATACTTGTCCTGTACACACTGTGATTAGATCACAAAGATGGGAAAAAGTTTGTTAGAGAGGCCAGACGCAAAAGCAAATAATTGTGGACAAAAGGAAAATAACAGCAATTCTTTTTGAAGACAAAGTCACCTTCATGTAACATTTTCTGAGAGTCTCAGCTGGAGGGAGCTGACATGACTAAGTATTATATTGTGAAACAATTTACATTAAACAGACTTCTGATTAGTGTTTGTGTTCTATCACAGCCGATAAGCCGCCCGGACTACAGTAAATTTCCCTGGTAAGTACGAAATCACTTCACAATGCTCCCTGCAGCGGGCTGCTTCTGCGCCATTTTTACTGGATGTCTGTTGTTCTAGGTTTGCAGGAAATGTAGAACGGCCGCAGGCCGACAATCTCCTAAAGGCCCATGTTAGCGGAACGTACCTTATCCGGGAGAGGTCAGCCGAAGCAGAACGATTTGCCATCAGTATCAAGTAATTTATTTCTAATTCCTTAGATTATACAGCTTAGCAAAATGTATGTACACAGTAACAAGCTATGAGCAGGCCAACATTGTCCGAGGATTGCTTGGGCTCCAGGGACAGAGATGTGTTTTACACATTAGTGCCCTTACAGCTCCTCGCACTTGCCAGTTACTGTCCATACATCCACCGAACGCTGCCCGCACATCCCCCTCACTGCTTCTGCCGAACACTACCCATACATCCCGCTCACTGCACCCGCTGAACGCTACCCGTACATCCTGCTCACTGCACCCGCCGCATGCTGCCTGAACATCCCGCTAACTGCACCCCCGGCATGCTGCCTGAACATCCCGCTGAACGCTACCCGTACATCCCGCTCACTGCACCCGCCGAACGCTGCCTGAACATCCCGCTCACTGCACCCGCCGAACGCTGCCTGAACATCCCGCTCACTGCACCCGCCGAACGCTGCCCGTACATCCCGCTCACTGCACCCGCCGAACGCTGCCTGAACATCCCGCTCACTGCACCCGCCGAACGCTGCCTGAACATCCAGCTAACTGCACCCGCTGAAAGCTGCCCGTACATCGCACTCACTATACCTACCGAACGCTTCCCGTACATCCCACTCACTGTACCCGCCGAACGCTGCCTGAACATCCCGCTAACTATACCTACCGAATGCTACCCGTACATCCCGCTCACTACACCTGCCAATCAGTGTCCATTGTAGTCTGCATATAACCGGTTCACCTTGTGTTTGTCGCTTCCTAATAAAAATGACCAAGAAAGCATTGAGCATCCCACAACTCAATTAAACTCAATGACTTGGCTGGAAAACAAAAATGGATTCTAGGTGTATATTATTATTTCATTCTCAACCGCACACCACACAACATTTAATGTACCGTCCAATAATAATCTTTCAGATTTAATGATGAAGTGAAACACATCAAGGTTGTGGAGAAAGACAGCTGGATCCACATCACAGAAGCCAAGAAGTTTGAAAGTTTATTGGTAAGTAGATGTTCATTTTGTTGATTGAGATCTCCTGGCATTGGTCTGGCTGCGGTGTCAGGTAAATCTCAATGGTTGCTGGTACGGATACTGGTTTTTCTGTATCGAGTACAAAATTTTTTACGGTACTCGCCGATACCGAACACTGATGACGGAAGTCCCATTAAGGAAGCCAAGGGGCGTGTAAAGACTCGCCACCCAGCTTCCCGATTTAGCAGGGAAGCCGTCTTCATGCTCCCTCGTCAAAGCATGGAGCTGGCTTTCTGGCCATTCAGGAAGCTGGGCAACGTGTAATACTGCATTGCCCGGCTTCCCGACTGGTCGAAAAGCTGGCCAATCAGGAAGGCGGGCAATGCGTCATTACACGGCGCCCGGCTTCCTGATTGGCCAGAAAGCCGGCTCCATGCTTTGACGAGGCATGTAATGAATCGCCATCTGGCTTTCTGATTGGCCAGCTTCCCGGCCAATCAGGAAGCTAGGCAGGGAGTCATTACACGCTGCCTGGCTTTCTGATTGGCCAGGAAGCTGGCTCCGTGCTCCCTTGTCACAAGTGACGAGGAAGCATGGAGGCGGCTTCCTGATACCGGAAGCTTAAGTATCGGTCTAGGCATCAGAGCATTTGGGCGAGTACAGTACCTGCCCAAATACTCTGCACTGATGCATCCCTAGTTGCTGGTATCCCTGTCTCTGGGCCTGTAAAACTGTGCTCCCTGGTTCCAGCACCGCCTTCTCTCTCAGCTCAGTCTAGCACTGGTCAATGAGAGAAAGGGTTTCTATTGCACAGTCATGTGACAGGAGGCTGCAGTGCCTTTGCTATTCTGCTAGGCATGCAGCTGACTATTTCTTCTGTCTAAACTTTAACGGGTTGTTTTTGGTATTTCCAGGAACTGGTGGAATATTATGAGAACCATTCCCTAAAAGAAAGCTTCAAGCAGCTGGACACAACATTAAAATACCCCTACAAACTCCGCACTGGCTCCCGCAGTTCACCCAAATCCCCAGGTAAGTGTGGCTGTCCACCATGAGGCTGAGGGGGGGCCACACTTTCTGTAACAGAGGAGACTCTCTGACTAGATGATGAAGAGAAGTGTAGGCTGGTCAGGTTTACATTTTATAATGTTCAGAATTACAGCTCCAGGGATTGTTCTCCTAGTTCAGTCTGAGAACCATGAGAGATTCTTCCCGACCCTGCTGGCAGTGCAGACATTGTGTGACTTGCTGTTGTAGCTGCTTGTCATTTGCCAGACAAAGTGTTCTAACAAAAGTGCCATGGGGAGTGCTGCCGAGGGAGCAATTGGACCTGTTTCCTGAACACTGGTAAAATAGATTTACTGTATACAGTTTAGGATAAATGTGTCATGTTCCAAAAAGGGAAACGCTAGAAATTGTTTATGATACATGTATGTAATGATTCAGGGCTTGTTCACACCAAATCCGGACCTGCATGAGTTTCTGCACATGCAGTGCGTTCTGCCGCGTTTTTGACTCGTTCCGGTTTGCTTTAAAAAAAAAAATATATATATATTTTTTTTTTTTTATAGCCTGAAATGGGCTTTCAGTGTGTTCTGGGTGTTTGCATTTGTTTTGGTGCGTTCCAGAGCAGAAAAAATAAGGCATTCTGCAGTTTTCCCCACATGCTCTGGAACTGAACGCTGTGGTGTGAACTAGAGCCCAAAATCCCATTGGAATACATTGGATGCATTTTTGATGCGTTCTGCACTTGGTGTGTACAAGCCCTTAATGTTAGGACGCATAGCCTTGCTTGTTATGAAATGATATATCCAATCTATACACTTCATAGCAATGTCTCTGGAAAGAAGTAGAAATAATTATCTGTCATATATTATTCCACTGGTGACATTGTACTCTCATATACTGTTTTCGGAATATACATAAATAGGGAAACATGAGGTTGATGAGACTGGGCCAGAGATGGTATGTTTAGTGGCACATGTCTCTACTGGATGAGGACAAGAAAACCAACCTGATCACTTCTAAAACAGCCGCCATAGAACTCAATGTTGGCGTAATGCACAGTGCTCATCCTTTAACCCTTTCCTGATGCTCTAATCTGAAGACTTGACTTATTTTTTTGTTTTTTTGTTTACTGCTTTCTGTTCTTCTACCTTTTATATTTTCTCTGAACTCTTTGCAGCTTCCTGTGCTTCCTACAACTTTTCTTTTCTCAGTCCTCAGGGCCACAACTTCCCTTGTCAGAATCCGTCCACTCCCTTCTGGTCAGGTACTGCATTTCTCCTAATAAAAACAGCACCTCCGAGTGGCTGTTTTGAAGACACTACAATGACTGATCTGTTACCATATGATCTGTAATACTGTTTTAAAGCAAGCATGTCAGACTCTAATAACGAGCAAACTAAATCTGCAAGTGGGGTTCAGTAATCCCACTGAGGGGGACACATAACTAATTGCAATTTAAAATATATATATATAATATATTGTATTTTTCCCCCCATTATTTATTTTGTACATTGAGAGTATTACAATAAAATTAGCCCAACTGACTAAATCATATTAAGGAAAATACTTGTAAAGGGTAATTCCAGTTTTCCAGCAAATGTGAAAATCTGAAATTACCCCCCAAAATCGGTCCCCTCTTACCCCTTCCCTAGTAGTCATATCTTTTGGGGGGAACCACCATTCCCCCTGCTGCAGCCGATGTACATTCAATACACAGCCTTGCAGCCTGGTACTGTGTATATGACATAATGCTTGCAAAGGGTGAGCGCTCATTGGTCAGGTGACCATAACTGTGGTCCCCCAAAAGGTATAACTACTGAAGATGGGACCAATTTATACAGGTAATTTCATTTGTTGGGAAACTGGAATAATCAGGTCCGTACGACGTACTGAGCTGGCCAGCTGGAAGCACTTTTGTAGCTCCGTACGACGTACGTCCTTGGCAGCGAAAGGGTTAAATGTGACATGCCTGCTGTGTAGTGGACAGCACCATCTTGTGGCTGTTTGTTGGCATTGTCCAATCTTTTTACGCTACACTAAAAAGTGGGTACAAATACCACGACCTAAAAACCCTTTTTAATGAAGTGATTGTGTATGCCAAGAGTCAAGTCAATAAATAATTCCCAGTGAATAAATCATAAATATACACATTCATATCACATGATCTATCCTAGCATATGATGCAGTGAAATAACAGAAAAGTGCCTATATGCAAACACAGGCGCTTGGATACCAGCACTTTATTATATTGGATCCATGATTAATGAACACAAAGTCAAGGTGTTGGAGTCCGTTATTCATACATATCACAATCCTAATGTGCTCTAGTGCAATGAAAATCCGTTGTTTCAAACGTGTCTCCAAATCCCTTTTTCCGTACATGGATCTAGATTCAATAAACTCACCATCAGTAACTGATCACTATGGTGTAGCAGCCATACAGCGCTTATAGTTCCTGGTGACAGAATTCCCCTGGACATACTCTCCCACCTTCCTATAGCTCCACTCGTAAATCTCAACAGCGCAAAGGGAGGAAACCGCAACAAAGCTCATATAGTGCAGTATCATTGAAACGCATATAATGAAACAAGTCTAAAACCACTCACAGTAGTGTGATGAAAAATAGCCTTGTCGGCCAACATGCGCCACTCGCATAACGAATAGTGACATCATCATGTACCTGCCTACCTGTACGTGTTTCGTCAGACATCCTCAGGAGTGGTTGAGGTGTACCACTCCTGATGAAGTCTGACATTTGAGCATACACACACTTCTTTATGGTATTAGCCACTTTATAGCAAAGTGCAAAAAGATTGGACAATTTACTTGAGTAGTAATTACTGCTGCACCACAGCAGCTATGTAGTTAGAGTTCTAGAACTAGGTTGGTTCTTTGTTTGCTGGCATTGCTGCAAGTGTAAATGTTTCAGGTGTAAGAGGCGTATGTAGTAACATGAATCGTGGTGTACATTGCCCTACCGTAGCCAAATATCAACATTTAGCAAGTCCACAGTTGGGTACTCTAGCCCATAGCTCTTTGCCTCATCATATTAAAGTATATACCATCACAAGTAGGTCTATTTGAATACTAACTAATGAAAAAGTCTAACACCGCCTCTTTTTCACCTTCAGGCAACTCTAACTTAATGACTTGTATAACCCCAATTTCCAAAAAGTTGGGACACTGTAAAATCTGCCTAAAAACAAAATGCAATGATTTGCAAATCTCATAAACCCAAATTGTATTCCCAATAGAAAACATAGGCAATGTTCAAACTGAGAAAATGTACCATTTTATGGAAGAATTGTGGTTGTATTAGCACCATCTGTAACTTTTACTAGAACCAATGGCCTTTCTTTCCATTGCCATGGGAGATTAAATAGAACAATCTGATACAATGGGGAAGCACTGTTGTAGAATCAAGTTACTTAACTATAAAGCATCCTGTACATGACCATCTGTCATCTCTTTCCCACCTGTTCAGACTTTTCCCCCCCCCTCTATCTATCCTTCCCATCCTCCATATCCCAGAGTTATGCAAGATTAAATCCATACTAACCCTCTCATATCCATAAACATGCACACTAGCCATTCTTTCTCATCTTTAACTTAACTGGCTTAATTTTGGCAATATTGTGTTGCAAATTTTTTTTTGATCTTCTATGTAATCTACAGACAAAAATACCTAAAAATTGATTTTGTTTAATATTTTGACCAGTGTTCATTTAAAGTAGTGTATCTATCTTGCATTGAGACACATGGCTTCAAGATAGGTAACCTAGGCAGCAGTATAACCTAGGCCACCTATCATCAAATGTGTCTCCCAATGGGATGGCATTGTTTACTCTCACCCATTCATAAAACCTCTTGCATACTATTCACAGAATACAAGTCATTTTGTGATTGGGCAAGGGGCGTTCCTGTTGTTCATCCACCTCTCCTCTTCCTTTGTCCATCCACCTCTCCTCTTCCTATGTCCAATGAAAGAATGCCTTGTATTCTATGAACAGAATACTAAGAGGGGAATTTATCAAAATCTGGAGCAGACACAATCTGCAGCAGCTGTGCACAGCAACCAATCCGCTTCTGTCTTCAGTTTGTTCAGCAAAGATTTTAAAATTAAATAGAGAAGCTAATTGGTTGGCATGCACAGCTGCTCCAGTTTTGATCATTTCCCTTCATAACCTTTTATGAATGGGTGACGGGGAGTGTCGCTGCACTGTACCAGACGGAAAGTCCCAGCAGCAGAGCCGAAAAGCTCAGAGCTGACAGGAAATAGGTCATGAAGCCAACTAAGATTTTCTAGAATCCCCCAGCAGCACTTCAGATGTAATAAATCCAACATTAGAGGTAATGTAGCTGGCCCAATCAAAAATAAGAAAAAAACATGCTTTACTTTTGGCTTAAAGCTAAGCTCCAGGAAAAGTGTTAAACAAATATTAATAATATGCTTTAGGGAGGTACGATCCTTTGTAGACAGACAGCAATACAAATCCTGACGGTTATTCACAAATGTTATAAAAGATTTAAAAAAATGTTTTTGGCTGGAGTTTTACTTTAAATAAAACCGCCTTTCCTGCCACTCATGTCTCAGTGTTTCCTGCAGGTATGGGACATGTGACTGACTTCACCTTTTATGTGGAGAAATAAAAACCGGCAGAGAAAATGTGTTCTATACATTAGAGAAACCAATGAATGCTGGTGGACACCATCTACAGTGCATGTACAGTGCCCTCCTCTATGCAGCTTAGAATTTATATATATATATATATATATGCTGCTGGAGGAGCTGCTATTAAAGTTAACCTGTTGTTATATATATATATATAGTGCAGCTCCCCTGCAGAGAGAAGTCAGGGATCTGGCTACACACCGGGTGTCTTCAGTAATGGTTTCATCTCTGACCTCATTGTCACCTACAATCAGATCTGTATCATCATCATCCACCAAACATGAATTACAACAAGAGAAATCAAGTAGCGCCTATTAACCCCAACAACCTACATTCAATACAGGTAGCTGTCTGGGATAAACTATAACTGTTCCCCCATTAGAACACTGTATTGGCTAGAGCCGCCATTCACACCTGTAAGTTTAGGTGGGATTAGGGACCCCTGCAGCAGGAATCCCAAATCTGCAGTTTACAAGTTAATGATTGGGTGACAGCAGCAGACCGGTGGCACACCGCATGTTATGTGATATGATTACATACAGTTAGGTATCAATCACTATCCCTGGATACACGATCAATGCATTCACGGATAGTGATTCATTCCTAACTGCATATAATTGTATTACATGCGCTGGGCCAGTGTTCTGCTGCTTTCAAATGCAACCTCTGTCACCCGATCATTACCTAGCATGGGTAACAACTGCTGCTTGTAAATGGTAGATTTGGGATTCCTGCTGCAGGAAATCGCTAGTTCCTGACCCAGGAATCCCTAAGCGCACCTACATTGTAGATGTGAATGAGGGCTAAATATCTACTGATTCTGTTGCTTGGCCTTGCTGGTATTGTAACATTTCCTGTCCCTCTCCACAGTGTTCACGCCACGTCCCATAGGGACCGCAGTTGCGAGGTACAACTTTGCTGCCAGGGACATGCGAGAGCTGTCTCTACGAGAAGGAGACGTTGTGAAAATCTACAGTCGGATGGGAGGAGACCAGGGGTGGTGGAAAGGAGAAACAAATGGAAAAGTAAGAACAGAAACAGACAGTTGGAGCTTGTTTCAACAATCACTGGCACAGGAAACATGAAGTTTAGTTATATAACTGTTTTCAGCCTAGTTCAAAATAGTTTTTATTTGGTTTTATATTCACTGTATACTTGAACCCCAATGATGCACATCTAGTGCAAACAACACTGCTGTCCCAAGGGAAACCGGTACAGATAAACAGAAATGTATCCTAAGCTTATTGTATAATACATGTGTGGTGTGTTGGTTTGCCTACAAAGTCCAATCATGTGATCTCACTGTAGTTTCTCTGAACAGATTGGCTGGTTCCCCTCCACCTATGTAGAAGAGGAAGGCGTTCAGTGACGGTGGCCCTGTGGGTGATATCGACACCCCCTTCCAGACTTCTGTACTTCTTTGCACAAACAATGTACGGGACTTTTCCTACAGTGACCCCAAGTGCAGGCCAATGAACTGTCCGCGCCTCTTCTCCTGCCTGATGGTCTTCCTTGCTGGTATTACATGTATATAAGATTTATAATTCTGATATATGGCAGTGGAATGAGAAGAGGACCTGTACGTGGAATGTTGGCTTTGCCTCTTTTAAAAAAAAAAAAAATTAAAATAATCAGTTTCTGGCTGCCTTTTCTTCCTACGGGCTTGTGGGGGGATGGGCCATCTTTCTGCCTCATGGATCAGAAAATCACCCACAGGATAGCTTGTGATGTGAAAACTTTTCAAACCTTATCACCAAATGACAGTCTGTGATCATCATGGAAACTTGCTTGTGTTGACTTTTAAATAGAGGACCTGTCATTTCTTCAACACTCAGTTTGGTGCAGGACATACAATTTTCTTGCATACAGTATTTGCCAAAAACTGGAGAAATGTGGCCTGTTAGTGGTCAGTTTCTCTGTGTCCTTAAGAAACCTTATTAAAGTCCAATTCCAGCCATTGTTGTGTGATGGATGGAATGGGGTTAAGGGTCACATCTTCTATGAAAGCAAGTGAATAATGGGAAACAAACAAATAGAAACATGGAAGCAGGACTAAAAATGTCAAGGTTTTGCTGGAGTGTCACTGTAATGTTAATGTCCCCACTGGAGGTTTCCACTCTCCCTGGGACAGGAAATGTGGGGAATTTTCCAAGTGAGGTCGCATACTAATGGCCTGAATGAGGATCTCACGCCTCTTTACTAGACTAAAAAGCAGCTTTGCCTGGAGTTCCACTCTAATATAGATAAAACAAACGCTAATGGCAATACGTTGGAAAACAAATTGTGACAAGCTTTTAGATTGAAGTGGTCATTACCTAACTCACTACAAAAATCATTGCAGGCCTATCACCTTTGGTTTATACTGCTGCCTACAGGGTGACTGGGCATCTACAAACGGGAAACCTGTAAGTCGGCCCAGGCTCCAACTACCAGCATGCCTCAGTATCATGATCATAACCACAGGCCTCAGTATCATGATCATAACCACAGAAGTCGTCCCTCATTGGACTCAAATAAAATGATTTAACAGTAAATACAAAAGTCCTATTTTCTTTCTTGTCAATTGTGGGACCAGGAAGTCTTAAATCTTTGGGACATCGAAAAACCCAACTGAGGAGTGAGCAACACAGCAAACAATTGCTAACAGGTCCAAGAAAAACAACAGGAACCTTATGCCTAAAGCTGGCAGCAGATGAGGCTGTAATGTGTGAACAGAGGACCAGGTGGCAGTCTTGTAAAATTGGGCCAAAAGGCACTCGCAGATCTATTAGAGTGCACCTTGCCAGGAGAGGATGGAACCTGACCCTTGAGACAATAAGCTTGAATGATGGTAGGTCTGAGCAACCTAGAGATTGTGGAATGAGAAGCCGGAGCACCCTTATGGTATCCATACAGGATTACAAAAATGCCAGATCAGTCTTTCAGAAAGAAGCAGTAGCTGAGAACTCATCCAGCATGAACCACATTGAGACAAGAGAGGGGAAAATCCTTTTGGTGAACTGGAGGCATACAGAGGGATGGATGAATAATGTCCTAGTTGAGGTGAAAGGCAGAAACTACTGGAGGCAAGAAAGTAGTCCTCTGCCTCAACAACACCTTGTTTGCAGAACCACAAAGCATTCCTTGCAGGATAAGGCCATCAGTTCAGACACTCACCTTGCAGAGGTGATGGCTACAAGAAACACCACCTTGTGGGTGAGAGAGGTCTCTAATGAGTCAAATGGCAGTTTCTAAAAGGCTAAGAGAACCAGATTCAGATCCCACAAAGTCACAGGGGAGCTACATAGGGAACACACTGTACAAGGTCTAAATGAAAGAGTGCAGTTTCATGACCATTGGCCTCACTATCAAAGGTCAGGTCTACCCTTTCTATTCTGAAAGCAAGACTGATCCAGCTGCAGGAAGGAGAGATTTCACCTTGCAATGAAAACTCATAGTGTAAAGGGCCTGAAGCTCACACAAAGTGAAGTACAGTGTGTATAGAAAAGAATCACCCCCCCCCCAACATTTTGTTGGTTTGCAGCCTGAAATGGAGACAAACACAGTTGTTGTTTAACCAGCTGTATTTGCTCAGTGCAACTTATAACATCCAAGTGAAATATAAAACACCATGTCAGAAAAAAATTCAAAAACAGAATCACTACATTGGAAAAAAGGACCACCCCCTCCTAAAATGACTTGTAAACTTGATCAGGTGTAGCTAATCATCTTCTCAATGGCACACAAAGCCATTTGACTTTCAGATGTGGGTCATTTTAATAAGCTCAGCCTGAAAAGAGCTTTCCTGGAGCATTGTAGTGCAACTGAAGCAATCAACTATGGGTGGCAAGGCACTGTCCAAAGATCTCCAGGATAAAGTTGTAGCCAGGCACAAGTCGGGAGAAGGGTACAAAAAAATGTCAAAGGCTTTAACAATGCCTAGAAGTATTGTAAAGTTTATTATATGGTGTTATATCTTTCACTTGGATGTAATAAGTTGTATCTTCCGACCCTCAGAACCTGGGCTTCAACAGCCAATAATCTTCATATGTTTTAACGTTCAAACTCCTCTGCGGGCGGCAGCTATCCTTACAGGAGAACTATGAGGTGAGTGATTTCCTCTCATCCACATAGTTAGAGCCAACCTGTGACAAAGAAGCTGTCTCAGGTTGGCTCTATCTATCAGGAAGTGAGCAGAAACATGCCGCCAATCTACTCACTTCCCGATCTTCTCCCTGCAGGAATTCTCCCCTCTCCGATCCTCCAGCGCTGACTGGGGGAGGGGGCAGGCACAGCTGGCTCTGGCTCTAGATAGGCAGAGCCAGCTGTCACTCACGCAGCTGGGTGGATCAACAGTATTGTCGGGATCCGTCCCGGCTTTGGACTCTCTATATCGCAGGCTAGCTTTGGGTCAGGGGAGGAGGTTAGTATATGTCCACCCGTGACCCTAAAGAGAAATATGGGGAAAAACACCTACCCCATAGTTCTCTTTAAAGTATTACTAAAGGCTGGATGATTTTAAACTGAATGCATTCTCTGCATGAATGCAAACAGTGGACTGTGTGTGTGTGTGTGTGTGTGTGTGTGTGTGTGTGTGTGCGTGCGTGCGTGCGTGCGTGCGTGTGTGTGTGTGCGTGCCGTACGTTTTTACCACAATTCGCTGTAAAAAAAACACGTGTTTCCGAGGGCTACCTGGCTGTATCCCAATGGATACGCGCTGCAAATACGCACCAAAGAAGCTCCTGTACTTCTTTGGGCGTAGGGTGTTTTGTAGCGCGTTCATACGGCCTGTAATAGGCCCAGGTGTGAACCATACCCGTAGGAAATAATGGGATTTCGGTGTTTGAGCGTTTTGCAGAGCGTAGGAACACGCTACAAAAAGGCCACGTGTGAACCGGGCCTAACACTTGAAAGGTGAACTTCACATTTACCAAAACAGCCCACGCCAACGGTTTCCTTAAAATGAGAGTCCAAGTATTCCACAATATGGATGGGCACAAAAATGCAGCAGGGCTAGTACATGGGCCAGTAACATGGTGAATACCCAAGGGGCTGAAGGGCAGGGCCACAACCTGGTAGTGCAGGTGACCCTACAGCAAAGCATAGGAATTGCTAATGTGCTGGAAAGATGAGGAAATGCAAGTAAGCATCTTTTTCTGGCTTCTGCAAACATCAGTCGACCAGGTGATTTTTTTTTTTTGTACTGGAGTGAAGACACATAGCTTTGAGATCCAGAAATGGGGTGAATACCCCTTTGGGCCTAAGAACAGGTTGGAGTAAAACTCCTGGAACCATTCTGGATCAAGGTGTCATGTGCCCAGTTCCAGCGGCAGAAGAACACAGAGTGCTTGGAGATTTTCTAATCTCTGCAGGGACACCGGACGGTTGAAACCAAGGAAGGGGCAGGGAGCGAACATTTATAGCTCTGGGATACCACTTCCCTCATCCAAGCATCTCAACTCCAAGTGTCTGCAAAGTTACCAAACATTCCCCAACTCTGGAAAGTAGAGACGCACCTTCATGCAGAGAAAGGCTTGTCTAATATCAACTGTATGGAGAAACAGACATTTAACAGATGAGGGAGAAGACATAGCAATCTGTTCATTAGGCTTCTTTCACAGAGGAAGATGTGTGCTCTTGCCATTAGTAGTAGTATTATACGGATTTATATAGCGCCAACAGTTTGCGCAGCGCTTTACAATATAAGCAAGACATTACAATCACAAGACAAGTTGGTAAGGAGGGCCATGCCCATAAGGGCTTACAATCTAAAAGTAGCATCCTTGATGATAATGTCAAGAGCTGGTTTGAAGAGATGTTTGATCCGCATTGCCTTCGAGGTAGAACACTTTTTCAACAAGGTTTCGCAGTCCAGAATTCTAGCCAAAGTGCCGTAATGCATGAACTGATACAAGACAAGTGCGATATGGGATAGTCACAGCTAAAATGTATTGCTACAGCCATCTCCTCCACACATAAGTGAGCAACAATGTCTGACAAAAGTCACAGACTAATTCAGATGACAGGCAGGGCTGCCAGCGAGAACAGAACTCTAGAAAGGGTTTCCGACTGCACAACGATTGGGTCCTTAGACAGGCGCGTCCCTTACCAGAATAGAAAGTGCCCTGTTAAGTCAGGACACTGCTGGATCCAGAGTGACAATAAGATCACTTCTGCACAAAATCCTCACTAAACAGATACAACCTGTTACGTGTTTAGGAGGAACAAACAGCTTGTCAGGATGTTTCCAAACACCATATAGAAATAGTTTAGCTTATGCAAAATCCCAAGGCTGCAAACAGCACTTGTAGAAGCAACAGGCTCATCCTCTAGTTTGAGTGGTGCATGCTGCATTAATAACAGCTGATTCCGAGTCTTTCCACTGCTTGTGTGATGAGCTCGTCTGTGAGGAGTCATAGTCTACTGATACCAATTCTCAATTGAACAAAGTCTCTAAAGCAATCAGCCCAGAAGCTGCTAAAGCCACAGGAAAATCAGATCTAGAATCTCCAGGAGCACACTTCTGGCCACTGTGATCAGAGCGTCCACAAATAGGCAAGTTGGGTGATAACATTTTGCATGACGGTGGTGAAAACCTCAGTCTAGAGGGGACATGATTCCAGGTTTGCAGGTGTTGGCATGCCAGAAGGTGCGCTGCAAGCAGCCCCAGAACCTTTAGTAGAATGTAGGCTGGGGGGCACCTTGTACATAAGGGACTGCCCCCTCCATGTCTAAAATCACACATGTTGCAAACATGTGGCAGTACGGTAAAGTTTATAGGCTCAAGGTATGGGGTAAGGCCTCAGGTACTCGCAAAACCTGGACAGCAGGTAGCAGGTGAGGTCTGGATGGACGGAGGTAACACTCATTGTAGGCAGGCAACAGAAACAGATGGAATATCGAAGTTCTACATGGTTCTTTGCAAACAGAAGCAGCAGCTGCGAGATGTTTACTCAACACCGTAGAACAGGAAAGAACATGGATCGCATGTGACACTTCACCCAGCAGGTGACGTCAGTGCTCAACCCCACGGAATTAACTTCTCCCATAGCAAAACTGTCAGGAACGGGAATAAAGTCCAATATGTCCATGTGCACTCCTCACAGCGTCTCCGGCCCGAATTACAATAATGGTGCTTGCAGTGATACTTACGGATGGCGCCGTGCACATCAAACAGGAAATGAACAGGAATCACCAGCACTCAGTGGAAAATATTTAAACTATAAAGTCCATTTAAATCAGACAAATCATCATACATGTTGCAATAATTATAAACGGACATTTCGGGGGCCACGCAGGGACCCTTCATTAGGGCAACAATGTAATGGGAATAAAACTGCTGAGCGTCCTAAGTGATTGAGGTCGCTCCCCAGTGATCTGTCTGACTGGCCTACTAAGTGAACCTTCAGAGAGAAGGCGAGCGCTGAGTCAATGCCAACTCTGGACCTGCAAAAGCTTCACAACTAACTTTTATCAGAACGATGTCTGGGAAGTGTCCTACGTTGAACAGTGTCTGAAGCTAACTTCCAGGCTATCCCTATATGTTCAGTCCATCAGGGTCAAGATACCGAATGCTTCGCTGAGGACTATCATGTTGGAAAACTGCATTCGAAGAGATGAAGCTCTGGCAGCGATGAAGAGAAGAAATAAATTGAAGAAAAGTACTAGCAAACAAATAACATCAAAGCTGTAGAAAAGAGGTCCATCACCCTAGGATACTAGCAAATAAAACTGAGGCATGCTGGTAGTGGGAGGGGCCATCTTGGGCTGTCCTACAGTTTTGTTTTTTTTTGCTTGCTGATCCTCCTATATGTACAAGTATATTGAGAAGGTTTAAGAATTCCTGGGTCCCTCAACAGATGAGAAAGAAAATACAATAATTCCAAGACAGTGATTTTAGAGGCAGTGAAACTGGACCAGTTCAGTGTCACTAAACCTGTATAGCTTTTCATTGGGAGGGTCAGCTTCATCATAGTCTTAAGCTGTCACAACACAAAGTACCTGGAGCAGGCCAATATAATGTTATTCCATAACACTTAGGCTGGGTTTACACCTGGGCGTTGGTAATATGCGCGTTTGACGCGCTTTTCGGGCCACATGTTTTTCGGTCCACAAAACGCGCGTTTACGAATTCTATCAGGCTTCTTTCTTAATGGATACGCTCTGAAATCCGCCCCAAAGAAGCTCCTATACTATTTCAGGCGTAGGGCATTGTTCAGCGCGTCAAAACACGTGGGAACATGCCCATAGGAATTAAAAGGATTTCAGTGCTCGAGCGTTTTTCAGCGCTGAAAAACGCCCAGGTGTGAACCCTGCCTTAGTGCAGATATGTGGTTATTCTATACAATCCCAGAGTAGAGATGACCATCATTTTGTTTGTCAGTCTATAATCAGCAGGCCCGGCGCTACCGCAAGGCAAGTCAGGCGGCCGCCTGAGGGCGCTGCAGGGTGAGGGCGGAAAAAACAGGGCATTTTGACAAGTACTTGTCCCTGTCAAAATGCCCCAATGTTTGCGCTATTCGCCGGCCAGCTAAATTAGGACCCCACCTGGAGCTCCTCCCACTGGACCAGCGCTGACTCGCCGCTGCTCTCCCGTACCGAAGGTAAGTGGAAAAAAAAAACATAGCGCAAACATCGGGGCATTTTGACAAGTACTTGTCAAAATGCCCTGTTTTTACAGGGGGGCGGGGAGGGACGGGGCGCAAAAAATGCACCGGCCCTGATTATCAGATATCACAAAATGGCAGAAGCACATACAAATACAAACATTTAAAACCCCTCACTCAGTTCCTGAATAACGATTCCTATAAAATCCTTCCAAACTATATACACATTGTAATATAATGGTAGATGATGGTATATCCACAGTGACCGACCCTAAGAGAAAACGGAAATCAACCGGGTGCACAAATATGCCTAGTGAAAATTAAATGTGAGTGGATCCTGTATTGGGAGTAAATATATTATAATCTAATATCCAGAGGTAGATACATTTTCCACAATTGGTTCTTTGTCAGGGAGGGTGGTAAGGGAATGAGCCCTTAGTTATATGTGTATGTCATTATCCTGCTGTTGGCATTTCCACATTCTAATAAGGACACCATTCCCTGAAATTATTAGAGGTGCACCGAAATGGACATTTTAAAACCGAAACAAAAAAAAATGTCAGGCCAAAACCGATACCGAAAATGTTTTTTATTTTTTTTAATATTTTATAATGGTGTGGGAGGAGAGACGCCGGCCGCTCATAGCGCTCTCATCCTGCAGCGCTCGGCCGGCTGTCACTTTCTTTTCTCCCCGCTGGAACAGCGCCCAGCGGGGAGAAAAGAAACCAGGGATGCGCCGGTGTATCGGCCGAAACATGGCTCTTTCTGCATTATGCCAAAAGTGCCATTTTCGGCCGATATATCGTTGCATCCCTAGAAATTATGAAATAGCATTTAAAAGGGTTGATGTGTGGAGGGAGGTATTATTGCACTGCTTTGTAACTTAAGCTGGCCATACACCTATAGATTATCTGCAGATTTTCTATGGTCAGATAGAAAAAGTGCCACAGATTCCTCCATCTACACTAAACTGTGTGGATGGAGGAATATCCCACTGGGACTCTGCAAGCGATGGAGGACAGTCTTCCTTTTATATAAAACAGGCTCCCTTTTCTCCCTGTGCTCTTGGGGCCCCTCTCAGCTGTCCCCACCACTATCTGCCTGCACACTCAACACCACTCACCATTTTACTGGGCTACCTCTGCCTCCAGTGCTTGGACACAGTAGGTGTCCACACTCTGTTTCCATCAGTCTTGTCCATTGCCCCCTTTCTGAGTTGCAATCCACCTCAGGGACCTCTTCTACACCCTTAATGGCACCCTCCCTCCTGATAACACAGTTTCCAGCACACTTACCAGTGTAAGAAATGACACTGTCTAACAATTTGTGTTAAAAACAGGTTATGTATAGCAAATGATAAACTGAGGGCAGGTATCCTATGCGGTAGCCCATTCCTCTTTAAAAAGGCACAGGGATACACTAGAAGCTAAGCACAGCAAGATGGCAGCTGAAGATCCCCACTCTGTCCCTACACCAAATCCAGTCAGCTAAACAAAAATTGCAACCACACCAAACAATTCAACTTTTTAAAATAAGGCTCTTATGCCTTTATATAGAGAAATTTACCCCAGCTATGTGTGATCTTATAGAGGAAATGCCCTTTTAAAGGCCATAGACTGCAGTGGCCAAAATCATGTTCTCTCACTTTCCCCCTCAGAGTCTCCCCCGACCGTCCTCCGTCTGCCTTGGCACTCAATGAGGAGGAGGGGGCTGCATCCAGGTCTATGCACTCACCACAGGAAGAGGGCCTGCCTGCTGATGTTTCTCCTAAGCTCAAGGATACCATTTCTTTTCTTGTGAACACTGTTCATGCATACCTACCAATAGAGCCACCGGTGTCAACCTTACTAAAGGTCACTAATCTGTGATCCTTAAAAATGCCCCGACCCGCAAAACCTTTCCCTCTGCACTTGTTTTTACAGCCTGTGTTATGTGGTGATTGGTCTTGCCTGAGAAGTTGTTTACACTTTACAAATATTTTGCTCAGCAATATCCTATTGAGGGCGGTTTCCTTAAGAAGTGGGCTGTCCCTGTTGTAGACACTAAGGACATTTCCTGCCTTGACAGGACCTTAACGGTTCTTGTTTAGGACATTACTGTTTGCAAAGCAAGGCCTGCCTCTTGTCCACAGGGTCTTTGAAATCTACTATTGTCACTATGGCAATCTGCCAGACTCTGTCTGGCCCAAATCTGTGGTTGGGGACCCCTGTTCCTTTTTGCAGACCCTCAGCATGCGCTACAGTGTACCCAGAAAAAGTATGTATTGAATGTCTCTTCTGCCAGAAATCCCTACCTCCTAGTCATTTTTACTTCCGCTAGGTCTGCAGAGCTTCTGTGCAAGAAGTGTCTGGAGCGCATGCCCCTAGGCTAGAGAGCCTATTTGCATCAAGAAAGTCATAGGCAGCAAGAGTACTTTTTTGCCTCAGAAAAAGAATGTGAAACTTCCAAAAAAGGAACACCTTCTGGTTTCAAGAGGAGTTTTTGTCCCTCTCAGGCCTCAGAAGCCAAGTCAAAGCAGGTACCCAAAAAATCCAGCAGCAAGCCCTCTTCACCTTTGCGACCACTTGGTCTCAGGAAATCTCTTATGCTTGGGTCCAGATAGTTTCCAGGGGCCACAATTTAGGTTTTCGTTCCTTCTTCTCCTCACTTCATGCTGTCAAACTTGCCAACTTCTCAAAGTCAGATGGATCTTCTCGCTGAGCAACTCATCTAGATCAACTCTTCTCTCAGGGGGTCATCATCCCTGTTCGTTTTTATCTGGATGTTTTTACCATCCCCAAGATGAAAAGTGGGCTTTGCCCCTTATACTGGATCTGAAGATTCCTCTGAGTCCAAAAAGTGCTGTGTGGAATCTGCCTGGTCTGTCATTGCTTTCATGCACCAGGGAGATCTTCTGGCCTCCATGTACATCAACGATGCCTATCTGAACATTTCCATATTTCATGCACATGAACGCTTGTGGGCATGAAGCATTACCAATGTGCTTCCCTTTGGCCTGTTCACTATACCACAGGCATTCACCAAGGTGCTGGTTCCGGTCCTAGCCCTGCTACAGTATCAGGGTGTTCCAATAATGGGATACCAGGACAACTTTCTGCTCAGGGAACAGTCATCCCAGGCCTTGTTAGCCAAATGTCCATTAGGCAGGGAAAACTCTGCAGAGTTTCGGATGGATCCTGAATCTACAGAAGTCAGTGCTGGAGCCTACTCATCACCTGGTCCCAGTCTTTGACATGGACTTTTGTAATGTTTTCTTTCCTCAGGAAAAACTCCAGCCCAATGTTCAAGCTCAGTCTCTGAATCACCCAGTACGCTGTGCAGCAAGGCCAAGCTTGCTCTGGCGTGGATTTCCAAACTGGTGCTGGAATTGGCGAAATCCTTTCTCTCAATTGTCTGGAAGGTGCTCACAATGGATGCCAGCCTTTCAGGCTGGAGAGTGGTCCTGGGTACCCTCTCCGTACAGGGGACTTGGTCGTCAGAGGAAACTTGGCTCCCGATTAACATTCTGAAATTTAGATGTCCCTTCAATGCAGGACCCCTCACTTGCGAGGTCACTGAACCAGGATTTATTTGGACACAGCAATGGCTTACATCACCCATGAGGAAGGTACCAGAAGTTGCACAGCTCAATAAGAAGCAGACCTGGTTCTGGCTTGGGCAGAACTTAACATTCCAGCTCTGTCTGCCTTACACATCTCAGGTATGGAAAAGTGGCCTGGTGGACTTCCTTAGTCAACAACATCCGAACCCCGGGTAATGGTCTCTTCACCCGGAGGCAATTCACGCGATATGATGCAGCTTATGCTAAGGAGATTTATCTCCATTATTTAGATGTGGTACGTGCTGTTCACGTTTACCTCTCAGCTACAGCCTCTCTTCGTCAGTCTGACTCCTTGTTTGTCATTCCTGAAGGCTTCTCGAAAAGTCAGCCAGTGTCTAGTTCCACTATCTCTAGGTGGATTTGACAGATCATCATTCAGGCTGATAACATTAAGGAAAAAGTTACCTATTTTCTGCTCCAGGCACGTTCTACTAGAAGCATTAGCATCGGTTTCTGAGATCTGCAAGGCTGCCACCTGGTCCTCAGTTTACATGTTATATCCTTTTCTTGGAGTAAAACGTTACAGGTAAATCAAAGATCCAAATTGATCTCTCAGGGTTTCTTTCTAAGCAATCATTTCAATAAATAGCAATTAGTAAAGTCCCACAGCCGTGTATATGCTATACGTAATATTCTGCACACACATTTAACCTGTGAAGTGTACACTTCAGTCCCTGTACTGTACTGTGCAGCTTGGATATCCCAGGGATTCCCCTCCAGACATACTGAAGGGAGTTTATCAAAACTGGGCAGACAGAATCTGGAGCAGTTGTCCATGGCAACCAATCAGCTTCTCTCTCATTTTCAAATCCTAATTGAACAAAGTAGAGAGAAGCTGATTGGTTCCCAAGGGCAACTGCTCCACATTCTGTCTGCTCCAGTTTTGATACATTTCCCTCACGGTATGGATCATAGATCATGCAGCTTATATTGAGGTCCCACAGCTGTTGCCACATACCTCCATTTTGTAGACGACAATTGCAAAGTTAACATTCTCCCAAGTATCCCATTATACACCAAGCCCTTCTGTTCTTACCACCTTAATAATGCATATTATCTTCTAATGTGTATGCCACAAATTGCCATTCAGCTTATCTGAACACTCCAATATCTCCCTTGATATTGCTGCTGCCTCCACCATACAGGAGTCATTACTCTATGCCACACAGATACACAGAATGCCAGGCCACGTGTGCCCTAAAATGTTTCCTCCAAAGGCAAGAAACTACTAGAGGTTAAAAGAACTCTTTCTGAATACACCCCGTCCCCTCATTACTGACATTTTGTAGCATGTGACAACGGCAAAGTATTTTTGAACATTATGAAACATTGCAGGAATAGTTTTTACCTTTTTCATCCATGGAGGTCATTGCCAAATAACATGCAGTGGAAAGTCGATGGCAAATAATCATTCAGAATGGTGTCACAAAGAGTGAATCTAGTATTACATTGCAAAATAAATCCACATATTGACATTTAGGGGATGTGTTGCTTTAACCAAACAACTGCTGCATTACCAGGCTCTGTTTTCTCAGTTATTCTGCTCAGTGGGGAATAACAGTCAATCTTTCTCCCCCGCAATGAACCTGCCCGTCAGTCAGGAGCTCTCCCCTCCATCCTCTGTTCTTGGGTTACCTGATACCTGCCGAGTGTTTGGTTACTGCACTCAGCCGCACAACTAGGACAGATCGTATTCTATATAGCACACAGTGGCAGGAATAAGAGGCAACACTGTGAAGGATTCAGGTGAGAGCATTGTTCATAGATGCCGAAGTCTATTAAATGAAAAATCATCACAGGAAGATCGTCGTTGCAGATTGCAGCAAGCATGCAGGTAAGTCACCTGTGCATCTATTGTCTAACTGGGAATTATTTACTGGACTGTTGCCGATCCTGCGTACTGCGCATTTCATGGCCAGTCACAATGCTGAACTAGCTGTCACATGTCAGATCTGGCTGCTCCTAGAGGATCTGTATGATTACAAAAACATAGAGAAAGATGACTTCACGGTCTGTGATATTTGAGATATTCCTAAATCTGGAAGCTTTTGTTTTCTTCTAAGAAATGAAAGCGTGTTAGGTTTTTTTTAACAATGAAGTTATTTTTATTCAGTCAGTCCTTCCAGAAGTGATAAATCAGCTATAGGTTACAGGTCACCTGCTGGTTTTCTATCTCTCTAGGGAACCTCACAAAGGGTGAGGCCCAGTAGTAGTTCCCACCTACCTTGGGGTCTCAATTCTCCTGCAACAATAGAAGTGTCCCCACTGCTTCAGCTGTATTTACATTCATAAAAACAAATACCACAACTTACGGCTTGTTCACACCAAATGCGGTGCCTTCTAGAGCACTAGCTGCTGGAACGCACAGCAAATCGCTCAATAAACCTCCCCCTTCGTTCTGGGACGGGAGGTGTGGCTGTGCATTGAAGTCAATGGCACCACAGCCACACGCCCCCCCCGCAGTGCAATTGGATGCGTGGCAAAACATTGCCTGTGTTTTGGTCCACTGCAAACATTGCCTGCGTTCCGGTCACACTGCAGGCATGGCTGCGGTGCCATTGACTTCAATGCACCGCCGTGCCCCCCCCACCCCCCATAGAAAAAAAAGGGAAGTTTTGTGAGTGTAGCTGTGCGTTCCAGCAGCTACCGCTCTGGAACGCACCGCAAATGGTGTGAATGGGCCCTTAGAGAGCTGCTAAAGCACAATCCCTCTTCTTTTCCACAAAAATAAGTAGACATCATAAACACACAAAAGCACTTAGTGGTCTCCATGCAATTGAATTGTACAAAAAAAGTAGAGCAATTCTTATAGTACAGAGGGAACCTTCTATAGCAACGTCACAGCTTGTGATAGCAGCAAACGCCACTCTCCTCGTCGATATGATACAAGACAGTATAAGCCAGTTGCAGACAATACATCTACAGTAAAAGGAGCTTGTACATTCAGCTGGTAACAATTATCTGGTATGAGCTGTTTAAATATAAAATGAACAAATTGATGAGGTAGACCCTCACCGTCCATTGTTGGCAAATCTAGACTGCGCCTCCACATTGTTACACATGTGGCAGGTTAAGCAAGTTCCACACTGACCTGTAAATGAATTTGCCATACTCAGAAGCTTTGCTCATACATTATGACACAACCATGACAGGTATCAAGATGTGGGAAACAGCTATAACCTTTAACAAGTATAAAGCTCTATGAACAGATATTTACATGAGTTGAAGGACAGCTGTTCACCTGGTGGATTCAACTTCCTTCACTCAGTATACTGTATGCTCTATGTGTAGAGCAATTGAAATATTCACACACACACACACCACACACACACGTAGTGTTCCTCTGCAAGCTGAATGAAGTAGAAAAAAAGTTTCTGAAAATTATACAAAATTCAATTGGAGAGTCTAAAAGCAGTCACCTTCTGCTCTCTTTTTAGAAAACCCAGAATGCCTTGTAATGCCAGTGTCACCCTCTGCTATTGTTTTATTTGTACAATAAAGAGCTTAAATGAGTATTAAAAATACCAGAAGGGAAAAAAAAGTCGCTGCATCTGACTTGTAATAATCTTACCGCTCTCTCGCAGGTAGCGCTGTGCAGACTGCGGACACATCAGTGGTGCTTCATCCTCTTCAATATTGCACTCTTTCATGCCTTGCTGTTTGGAACCGAATTCATGGAAGAATATTTCCTGCAGGCTGTTCCCTTCTCCTACAGCGATGAAAAGTTTGTGGAGATCAGAGAACGGGCACGGATGCTGGACATGCATCTTTTGAAGGACAACATCTCCCGGTCATATGCAGTCAGTGGATCAGAAGTGTGCTCCCGACAAGAAGTCTACTTGCTCTTGGTCATCTATAGCAGCCCAGAAAATAAAACCAGACGGGAGAGAATCAGGAACACTTGGGGCAACACAACTTCTGTACAAGGCTATGTAGTAACAAGAGTATTCATGTTTGGCAGGGCAGATTCAGAAATTGTCCAATCAGACATTTTTAATGAATCTCAAGTCCATCAGGACATTGTTCAGGGAGGCTTCCTTGAAACCTATACGAAGGAGACAACCAAGACCATTATGATGATGGAATGGATTGTGACATTTTGCCCCAATGCTAGATTCATCCTAAAAGCAGACCAGGAAATGTTTGTTAATGTCCGAAGCCTAGCTGGATATCTTCTCAACCTGGAGTCTCGTATGGATGATATATACATTGGAAGGGTGATCTATCACAGTGTGCCTGACAGAGACCCTCAGAGCCCCAATTTTGTCCCCATTTCAGCCTACTCGCAGACCTACTACCCCGACTTCTGCAGTGGGTCTGCCATGGCCATCTCCCAAGACGTGCTTAGAAAGATGTATTTGATTTCTGGGAAGGTCAACGCTTTGCTGCCATCTGAGGTGTTTATTGGTATTTGTGCCCAGTGGGCTGGGGTGACACCCATACAAAGCTCTAGATTCTCAGGAAGCAAGCACATACGATACAACCGCTGCTGCTACCAGGTCATCTTCTCATCTTCAAATCTAGATGACATGGAACTGTCCACAGTTTGGAAGGATCTTAAGGACAGCAATGAATGCTCAAAGCTGGAAACCTATTATGGGCTGGTGTCTTGTAAAGTCTGGTCCTACCTGGACCAGTTTAAATATTTTAGTAGGAGTAAAACAGGTAATGGGGGTGGTATTTTTAGATGACTTCCTACTACAATGGGGACTGTCTTCTGGATGGCTAACTGGATGAAGGAAGGCAATGAAGGAAGGCAAGCAAGACACAGACCTAACAATGCAAGATTTGTGTTAATCATGTTCTTGAATTGTTCAAACTATGGCACAGCAATAAACTGGTTTTCATGCTGTAGTTTGTTTAGCACATTAAAAGTACTTTTTCACACTAAGATCTGAAAACAAGTATAATCTTTTCTGATCAAAATTCTTCAAGGTTAAAAGGCTCGTCATTGCCTTCTTGCCTTTGTGATTAGCTACTGTTGCCAATATGTATCGGAGAGAGCCAATCACAAAAGTAAGCAGGCAAAAGGTCTTTGAAAACAATATGACTGACAAGACCTAAAAACAACTGGCAGAGACAATTTATTTAGAAGCAAGAGAAATTCACAGCTGAATAGTAAGAAACTTTGAGAATGTTAGAAGGGGGGTTACAATAAAGCAATTTACTTTAAAAAAAAAGTCTTACTTTTTCCTATTCTGAACAAAAGGTCAAGACTTAGAACTAACCCTGACTACAACATACACTAGAACCTGGAACATGCATTAGAAGGTAAATGTGGTTAACCTCATCACTGACCTAATTTGAGTTTAACTTCAGGCCAACTTTTAATTTAAATTTATGGGCAGAATGAGTAAGAGTTAGATCCATATATTACTAACATTTTCCTACTAATGACTTACTCACTGCTAAAAATAATGGCCACTACTCTTTACTCTTGCTATTAGACCTTTCTGCTGCTTTTGACACAGTTGACCACCTACTGCTCTTCAAAAAACTCCACTCACTTGGCTTCCAAGACTCTGCTCTCTCATGGTTCTCCTACTTATCCAAGTGCTCCTCTAGTGTCACCTACAAATCTAACTCCTCCTCTCCTCTTCCTGTCGGAATCCCTCTGGGGTTCTGTCCTTGGACCCTTTCTCTTCTCTATCTACATCTCTTCTTTTGGTCAGTTGATAACCTTGCATGGCTTCCAATTCCAACCTTTATGCCGATGACATGCAAATATATATCTCTCACTCCACAACTCACCCCTTCAGTGTCCTTGTGCAGTAACTGACATATCTACACCTGTCTGGATGTCACAACACTTTTCACTCACCTCATAGTTCTAGCCGACCTGTGACAATGAGACTGTCACAAGTCGGCTCAGTAGATCGAGAAGTGAGCGAACAGATACCGGCGTTCGCTCACCTCTCGATCCTGTCACAGCTCTCTGCCGTGACAGGGGAAGGGCTGGATTCCCCCCTCCCCGCTCCGCCAGCGCTGACTGGCGGAACAGACGGGGAGGGGGCGGGTACAGCTGGCTCTGCCTCTAGATAACCACTTACAAAGTAATTCACAACTCTGAAACAAGGTTGGAAATCTAACTGGGGGCATAGTATTACCCTAACCATCCCCTCCGCTCTTCCCAAGACCTCCTGCTCTCTTGTCAACTCCTCCTATGCCTGCCTCCAGGTCTTCTCTAGAGTCTCTCCAATCCTTTGGAACTCCCTACCCCAACAGTCTGGTTATCCACTACTCTTTCTGCCTTTAGGCGATCCTTGAAGACTCATCTCTTCAGAGAAGCCTATCCCATCTCAAACTCATCTCAAATTCATCCCCTCACAGCTACCAACTCTTGTATCACTTGCCCCTCCCTTTTAGATTGTAAGCTCTCATGGGCAGGGCCCTCCTTACCATCTTGTCTTGTATTACAACTGTAATGTCTCCATCCAACAATAAAAAAGAAAAAAATGTTTTTGGGAGTCCCACTTTAAAATTCTGAAACCCTTCCTGCTTTGTGTATAATGTAATCGCATACAGTATATACATGGAGGCAGGCATATTCACTCATTGCAGGCTCTGCTTCTTGCTTGTAAGTGCTATACAGTGATTGCCATTACCCTTATCTCAGTGGAAGCTGATGGAGTAATCCAGAGCCTTTTATATACACTGAAAAAACAGTGCAATTGTTCAGTGGCCTGACCTGAAAACGATACTCAATTTGCAGTCTTTCAGCAAGGATGATATACAGACACTAGAAGAGCCTATAGCACAAATCTTTCAAATTAATAATTTACAGAACAAACCAAAAATGAATAATTCCACAGATAGGCAGCCAAAGTCATATATATGAAGGTATAAACAAATCTCACATATCCTGTAGAATTTGAGCTTGGCCCCACCCCTTACAGTGTTCCAAGCCTACCTACTTGTTCTCTAATGCCACAGATTGCCTCTCTAAGCACTATGGAGGCATCAGGTGTGGGAGGGGCAGAGCTTTTTTCAGCTTTTACAGGAGATGTACACATAATATCAGCCGGCCTATATCGGTTACATATGCTGATGGTTTAGTAGATTTTACGGAAGGTTGCCTCTGCCTATATACTTTTTCATTATAGGCTCAATAGTTTAAACTGCACAGATGTGTCAAATATTTACTTTAAATAATCATTACACATATAAATCAAATACAACATTAGGGTCCCTGGGATCTATCTGGACTCCACTTTGATGTGTGATACTGGACTTGCTCAACTTTCCCTTTCTAACAGAAGTCAGATCAGTGAAGGATTCTTATATGGCTCTTTGCAAAATTAAATAAACCAAATTGCCTGGAGTATGCGGCACGCAAGAACAAGTCCCCGTACACGTCTTATGCTTGGTGATAATTGCTCCAGTTATTATTCATGATACCGACAGGGCTGCCTGTGCAAATCTCTTCCATTTCTTACAATGAGTAATTAATGTTGGGATTCCCCACTGCTTGAAATGAGAGAGAAGATCAGGGAAGGAGAGTGGGTATCCTCCTAATGCCACAAGTGCTCTTTAAAGAGGCCCACATATGCCAGCCACGGACTGGCATATCAATCCCCAGCACTCTGCCCTGCCGGACAACAAAGACAGCCTGAAAACTCCTCCAAAGGTTATAATAAAAGCAGAGGTATCAGCTTCATACCAAACAGCCTCTACAAACCTGAACATCCTTAAATATCCAATCATTGAAGAGTTCCTCCATTATTTCCCCTTTGTTAGAACACTGCCAAGTTTCTGAAACCCTATCATTTATACCTCATCTTCTTAACATTATCATTCCACTTAGAACTTCTTGGTGGATGCTGATGAAGTTAACACTCTAACAGTCACTTTTTATCTTTTGGAGATTCTATTGGTGAGATCCAGGTGCCAAGTTCCTGTATCGGCACACCTCTTGTTACCGTTATAAAGGGCTCTCACTATCCCTACTGGTTGGGAATTATGGCAGACAGATCTTGCTGTTGGATAATCGGAGACATAAGTAGCCAGCTCAACAAGCTCTAGCATTACCTTAAAGCCCATTTCCCCCTTTGCAGAGGTATTTTTAATGTACACCAAGTTTACATGAAGCATGCATATGCAGTTGCTGTAAACAAACACAAAAACTTACATTTTTGTTGTTAGCTTTCCTTCTCATCTCCTAAAGGAAATGGCTGCCTCTGTGTTTTGCATGCTCTCTCTGTGCTCTGCACCCCCCATTCATTGGCATTCATAGTGGCACCCCACCTCCCACCCGGATGGTGTATTGTGTGTGAAGGCAGAGCTGGTGTTTAGTGATCGTGTCACGCAGAATCACAGGGAGGGGGCAGCGGTTTACAGTCTGCTTTACAATCTAACCACAGTGTCTGGTTGTATTTCCTGTGGAGAAAATTCTGCATTTTTAGGCTTCAGGCCTAATAGGTTTATTAAAAAAAAAAAGCTTGCAATGTGAGTCATGAAAATGTACACACATACACATTATTACTCCACCTCTCCATTACCAAAATAAATTCTAATCATTTACAAAGCTGGAAATTGACTTAAGTATTACTTCTGGGTGGGCTGACCCTTTATAACCTAATAAAGAGATGCAAGGCTACTTGAATTCACATCACGCTCTCATTTTCCCAGACAGCAGCTGCAAACTGTAGTGTTGACAAATACTGTTATTAAGTTCCTTAAACATTCAATATTTACCTGTAGATACTATTAAAATATTGTATATATTTATGTAATTCATGTTTATGGGCCATGCAGAATATATTGTGAAGGGTGGAAAATACAGTACCGCAGCCATAGCCAGGCTCGGATGCTGCCACGTAGGCTCCATATAGTCTGCATATAAGTTACTTTACAATGAGACAATGCCCATTACAAGGAAAGGAGACCTGCGGTAAATGAGGCGTGTCAGGCTAATATGGCTCAGGAACAATGTATAGGAATTCAAGCAGAGAGAGATTCTGGCGTCTACGAGGCGACTCCGACTCTTAGCAACCATCCTGTCACCTCCCAGAAGACGCAGCCAAACTACCAGTGAAGAAGGTGGTGAAGGTGACGGAGACATGAGAGCCAGATTCCGGGGGTTTGCTGATCACCCCAACAAGATTCCAGCGGATGTAAGTACTAATCAATAGGGAATATTTGAGGTAGGTGATAATTCTGGCCACCACGGCATAAAAGAAAGGAGGAACAAAAGCTGGAACCATAAGCTCCACAGATCCCCTCTCAGATCCACAATTTACTATTCAGAACAATTGTGTCACATTTGAAACAATAAGTAAAAGGTAGTGCAGTGGTTTTTCAGCACTGTGGCCCTGGGATGAATTCATATGACACGGAGAGTTTATGTCCACCCTGTCTTCATGTCGTTTTCCTTTAGGTGATTAGGTTTTCTCTCTAATCCAAAAACATTCAGGAATGATACCCAGCTCTGCTCGTTCTGACCGCATTGTGTTTTCCTGGGACTGTGCTGGCTGAGACAGCATGCAAAAGATTATGGATCACTCAAACTTTGTGCAGTCCCATCATAACATTAGACTGAAAGCAATGACTATGCTGTCCAACTCAGAAACAGTATCTGTAACATGACAGAACAGCTATCACATAATACAGCTTATTCACAGAAAAAGGCATTTGTATTTTGACATTTGAATGCCGTACCAGGTGTGTTCTAAGCATCTTACAGGGTGTATATATGTGCGTTTTC